GCCCAAGAAGGCCCTGGGCCGCCTTCCCGGAGGAGGAGGAGGTCGCGAGGCACCTTCTGGGCGGCGGGAGCGGCCGAGCCAAGGCCGCGGCGGGAAGGGGCGCGGGGGCTGCGAGGCGCAGGCGAGGCCGGGCACCCCGACGCTCCCGAGGCAGCGCAGGCCAAGGTCGATGCGGGTTTCAGATCCCGGGCACCAAAGCACATCGGGGTGTCCCGGGGGAGACGAGGCGCTGGCCTCCAGGGCCGAAGGGTCTAGCGGTAGCGGGAGAGCGGAGCCTGGAGCCCGACCCCGCGGGGTGTGGACGCGCGTGGGAGCGCGGCGCGGCCCGGCTGCCTTGCGCCTCCGCTGCGCCCTGACCACGACCGCCGCGGACACCAGGAGACGCTGGGGGAGCGGCCGCGAGGTCAGGGCCCCCCTGGCTGTGGTTGAGGCGGAGGGGCGCCATGAGGAGGGGTACAGGTGCGCCCCATTTGGCGGCCCAAGAATCCGCAGCACCAGGACAAGATGGCCCACGAAGGCCGGGGAGCAGGCGGCCCGGATCCCCGGGGTGGGGTCCGGCTGCGGAGAGGAGGCGGGCGCCTGCCTGGGGGCTCCGCAGCTGGGGACTGCGGCTCAGGCCCAGAGGCGGGACAGAAGGAAGGCCCTGCATGGGGAGGGTGAGCGGGCGGGCGCAGGGGTGAGTCCCGGCTGGGAGAGGAGCCACTATGACGTCACTGGTGGCCTTTGCTGGCCCGTCAGTGCAACTGCGTTGGGCGGGCGGGATCCAGAATGCAAGGAGCCAAGGATGACCGGGAGAAAGAAAAGGTGGTGGCGACTGCTTCTTTCAAGGACAGAAGGGGGACAGTGACAAGAAAAGGGGGCGACAGCATGGGGGCCAGCAATGGGACAGAGTCTGGGTGGGGGTGTGGCCTGCAAAAGGGTGTCAGGAGAGAGAAGACTTGCACTAGAACCTGGAAATATGGGGGAGAGGCAGAGCAGGACACGCTGGCCCTGGGGTGAGCTGCAGCTGAGAGCAGATGCTCTTCCTCTCAGGGTGGAGAGAGGTTGTGAGGGCTGGAGAGAGGTGTGAGGGCGGTGCCTGGACAACCTTGGGAAAGTGTGGGGGCCGACGCTGAGGGAGTTTGTGCTTGAAACCCCCTGGAATAATCTTGGGGCTGGGGAAGGCAATGCAGCTGAAGTAGGTTTTGAATTCCAACCTCTTCCTCAGTGACAGAAGCTTCATCTTATGCTCTTCTTCCTACTTTTTCTCCGCAGTCTTTTTTTTAAAAAAAAGATTTTATTTATTTATTTTTAACAGAAGAGCTGGTGTCAAAGCCAGAGGTGCGGGGCTTGAGAGGATTCACCAGTGACAGAGTAGGGAGCAGAGCAGGTGGATTGGCTGAAATACACTGCTGAGGGGCGCAGCGGGAGAGCAGGAGAGGTGGTTCAGCTACTCGGCCAGGGATCCAACTCAGGCCATAGCAGTGACAAGGTTGAGACTTAACCCCTAGGCCACCAGGGAGGCCCTTGTGCAAAGTCTTACACCCCTCAGAGGTGGATGCAGCAGTCGGTGTATTCTGGAAGCTGAGTGAGCCATCCCAGGAGGCCACCTTCTGTGACTGCCCGCCACGGCAGCGGTCAGGTAGGACCTGGGCAGGTGCCCTGCGCAGGAAGCAGGCCCCTGTGGCCCCAGCTGATGGACACCGGGGCTTCTGCCTCGCTGGGGCTCAGCCTCTGCCTCCCCTCCCAGGGTGGCCCTTGAGCTTTCTGCGAGGTCTTGGCCCTCGGTCCTCAGCAGCTCTTCCTCTTGCAGTCCTCATTTATTCTGCTAACTTCAAATAACATCCCTGCGGGGGCGCCCCCTGGCCACTGTGGCCTGGCCCGTCCTGCCCCACAGGGCCAGCGTCTTCAATGTTGGAGTCTCGCCTGATGCCCCTACAGCAGCCTCAGCCTGTGTCCCCTTCTGTGCCCCAGGCACCTCCGAGCGCGGAGAGGCGCTTCTGGCGTGTGCTCGTCCAGGAGCGTCCGGACACCGTGTTCCCCCGCAGCGGAAGCTTCCTGAAGACTGGAGCTGGCCGCGCGCTTATTTCCTCCACTGGGCCTGGAATCAGGCCTCGAAAACAGTCATTTCCTTACACACCAAGTGCTGGTGGAGGGGCCGGGCGAGCTGGCCTCCGCGGGGTGGCTGAGGGCACAGGGCCACGGCAGCCAGCTTGCGGGAAGAGGTGGCATCCGTGAGAGTCACTGCAGAGGACGCTGCCGGCACTTACAGAGCTCGCCTCTGAGCAAAGACTCAAGTACAGCCCCTCAGCCTGTGTCCCCTTCTGTGCCCCAGGCACCTCCGAGTGCAGAGTGGCACTTCTTGCGAGTGCTAGTACAGGAGCTTCCCATACGCCTTGCTGGGAGGGGATGTTGAGTCACCTTGCCGCGGAGGCCCTGCCCCTGGACTGTGCAGCGGGAAGAGGAAGAGCAGCCAGAGGCCTTGGGCAGAAGGCACTGGTGGCGAGCCCAGGAAGGGAAGAGTTGGCCACCAGGAGCCCCCGAAGGCTTTGGAAAGAAGTGCGTCCTACGCCCAAGGATGATCTGGAAAAGCACACGGCCCCACGCTGGGTGCCTGGTAGGCCCAGGCGGGAGGCTGGATCCCCAGGGAGGATCCCCGGTGGCGCAGGGGTTAAGCCTCAGTGCTATCAAGCTAGTTCCAGCCACTGCAGCACGAGTTCAATCCCCGGCCAGGGAGCTGACCCATGGGGCTCAGCAGACCTCTCCTGTCTCCCCGCTGTACCCCTCGGCAGTGTATTTCAGTCAGTCTGCCTGTTCTGTTCCCCACTCTGTCTCTGGTGAATCCTCTCACCCCCTGCACCTCTGGCCTGTACCCCAGTTCTTGTATACATAAATGAACCAATCTTAAAAAAAAATGAGAGAGTACAGGCCTGTTAAAGGTTGAGAAGACTCTGATTCTGATGCGGAGCAGAGGAGAGTGTGTGCCAGACCCTCTGGAACGACCAGGGATCCAGAGGACACCCCAGGCCCTGGTCATAACCTCAGCAAGCTGGTTTGTTTTAATTTGCATTCACCCAGAAGCAAACCCTGAGACCAGAATTCCAGTGCCTTTAGTTTATCTGGGATGCCGTCCTAGGACGCACCCAGGGGAGTGGGGGAGTCAGCCCAAGGAGAGGCCAGCAGAGGGGCCTTATCCAGCGCCGGCTGCTGGGAGCCCACAGGCTGGGGCGTCTGGGAGGCTGCAAACAGACCCCCAAGTTCATTTCTCCCCCGGCCTCCTCTGTCAGTGCACAGGCGGCTTCCAGAGGCTGGTGGGCTCTGGCTGCTTTCTCCGCCCTCCCCCACACCCCCGCCACGCCTGCGGAAAGAGTGGCCTGAACAGGAGCTGACTGGACTGAGGCACAGAATGGGCCTGCCGGGGCCAGGCGTGTGCACAGCTGTGGAATGCAGTGGAGAGCTCTGTGGGTGCTCCAGGGAACTAGGGCCGGACGGCGGGCACCAGAACGGCGCGCAGTCCCCGAGAGACAGGGACTCTGCGCTGAGGCTCCCCAGGGAGGATGGGTTTTGAGTTTGAACTTGCAGATGTGGCAGAGGAAGGCCAGCTGGAAAGAAAACCCGTGCCAAGATCCCAGCCCAGGAGCGGCAGCCAGACCAGGACCAGGACTGGGGCAGAGGCAGGAGGGAAGGGCGGGTCGGTGGAACCGGGGGTGTGGGGTGTGGGGGTGTGTGGGTGTGCCAGCTTCTCTCCAGCCTCCCCACTGGGGCGTCTCCACCAGCTGCCAGAGACGCCCTTTAAACCAGGAGCTTTTATGGGGGCCCAACCCTGTCCCAGCCCTTCACGTGGAATCCATGACTCCCTTGGGAAGTGTGGGCTCTTATTACCCCACTTCAGAGACAGGGCGAAGCGCGGGGAGGCCAGGTCCTGCCCAAGGTCATGCGGCTTGAACAAGGTAGAGCTCGAGCTTGACCCCGAGCGGCGGGCTTGCCCGGCCTGTGCTCCCAGAAAGACCATTAAAAATTGCAGGACAGGTCGTGCCCGTCGACACAGAGTAGGCCGCGCGCGTGACCGGTGACCTGGAACCCACGGATGCGGTGGCGGGCCTCCCCGGGAAGGGGCCTGCAGGGCGGCGGGCATGATGTGTGCAGGGTGAGAGCGATGCGGAAGCAGCTTCCCCGGGGGCGCCAGGCTGGGGCTCGGCCGGGGACGGGAACAGGCCCCTGCGGCCGGGGAGGAGGTGGTCCCGGTGAAGTGGCCAAGGAGCCCACGGTGGGAGGCCCCCTTCGGCCAGCCTTTTACTACAAAAAGTGAGGAAGGCCCTTTTGCCACAGGCCCTTTGCCTCGAGCAGAACCACAGTCCAGTGCAAGAGTCAAAAAGCCCCGAAGTAATGGCGGAGGGAGGTGACCTTGCAGGACCGGACCGCAGCCCGGGGACAGGGAGGAGCCGGGAAGCAGGGAGGCAGCAGGTTCCAGCTCCTTCTGGGAAAGACAGGCCCAGCCTCACCCTCCACGCACACTCCTCCCTCCTGCCAGGTGCTCCTACCCCTCCCCCAGCCCGCCCAGAGGCACCTGCCCCCCCAGGCCCCAGCCCAGCTCCTCCTCGCAAGAGTCAACAGGTTGCAGTTAAGGAACTGCCAGCTCCTGCTGTTTGTCAGCAGATAAATGCCCCCAGGTGGTCGATGAGCTTTGGGTGGCCGCTGGGGGGGTGGGGGCAGTGGAGTCCTGGGGCTCAGTCTGTGACAAGTCCGAGGACATGGCTTCCTTTGGGGGCAGCCCAGCGCTTCATGGCTGAGCTGGGGCACAGGGTGGCTCTGGGTGCTGAGGAGGCAGGAAACCAGCTGCCGCCCAGGGGCCCTGCGCCCGAGTTACTTTGGCCCTTGTTTCATCGGGAACGTCTCCAGGGTGGGCGCGAGCCACGCTGCAGTTCTGCTGCTTTCAGGAGGGCCCACCAGGGCTAAAGAGACCTTGTGTAAACCCCTCACCGACTGCGCCTGGATGGCCTGGGGGTCCAGGGAGGGATGGCGATGGGAGGGCGACCCTGCTGCAGGAAGGCCCCGTGCCTGCGACACATTTACCCCCATCTTGCTTCCCAGCAGCCTTCACCTTGGCCAGGACGGGAGAAAGGAGGGGGCTGGCTTGAGCACCCCCAGTCTGGGCAGGGTGGCTTGTCCTGGGGATCCCACTCTGGTCCCCCCTCTGTCCCGCTCCACCCTCAGCCCAGCTGCAAAAACTCTCCAAGGTTCCTACCACCTGGCTTAGCTTTTAATCCTTCCCTCACCTCCACCACGGTGCTCCATGCCAGACTGCCCCATGCGCAGGTGCCCACAAGCATTGCCCAGGAACTGGACTGGGCAGGACCTCAGCCCAGGAGGCCGGGACCAGGCGAATGGAGAGGCTGGGGCTTCTCCTGGTCAGTGGACAGCAGAGCACATGTCCGGCTGCCCTTGCACAGGTCAGGCAAACTCTGCCGCACCCTGACAGCCTTTTAATACCCACCGTCCACGTGCTCTTCTTCTGATGAGGCTGCCTGGGGCGGGAGGTGGGCTGGCGTCCCGGGCCCTCAAACCAGAGCCACTCCCTCAGACAGGCTGTCGGCCCAGGGCGCCCGGGTGAGCCTGGAGGCTCCGATTTGACCTCCTGGGACGAAGTCCTTAGTCCCAATTGGAAACTGGGTTTGGATAATTTACTGCCAGGAAGCAGCTTCTCCTGATTGCCGGCCTCGGCCTCCTTGGGGAACCCGGGCTGGGGCGGACAGTGGGGTGAAAGGGAAAACGTGTCCGCAGACCCATCAAGGGCTGTTTACATTTCTATTGTCAGCAGCCCCGCAGCTGTTTGTTTAACCCCCAGGAGGTCTTCCCTGGTTCGGTGGGGGTCTCTGCTCCAGACCAAAACTTGAATTTCGCAGGTGGGTGTGACTCACGCCCCGTGACACCTGTCTGGCCTGACTTGGAGCTGTCGGGACAGGACAGCCCACCTGCGGGTGGTGGGTGTTACTGGCCCAGCAGGAAGCCCAGAAGGGGTGCGGGGGCAGCTCTCAGCGGAAAGATTAAGGGGCCCCAACCCCAGCCTAGATGATAGGCGGGCTAGCGACTAGGAAGATGGCTTTTGATTTTTCAGATAGCTTTGTAATGTTAGAACAGTTTTAGGTTTACAGAAAAGGTGTGAAGCGAGCACAGAGCTTCCGTCACCCCTGCCCGCGCCCCTCCACCCCCGCCAGCCATTAATAGCATCTCACATGAGCCTGGCGCATTCGCCAGCGAGGAGACGACCCCACCTTCACTGGTAACCAGCAAGTGCTTCAGGCGGAGCCCCTGGTTTCTGCCCCCGTCCTTCCTGGCCAGGGTCCCGTCCAGGCTCCTGAGCGGCTCTGGCCACATGACGGCTCAGACTCTCCCGGCTCTGGTGACCTTGGCCCCTGGGAGGAGCACCTGCGGGTAGCTCGGAGATTGCCCCTCACTGGGGATCAGATGACCTCTCCCGATTAGATGGGGGTGATGGATTTGGAGCAGAAGATAACAAAGGTAAAGTGCTTTGAATTTTTTTAATCAAAAATTAAAGTTTGATATAAAAATCAAGTTGGGCCTCCCCTGGTGGCGCAGCGGTTGAGCGCTGGGTTGCGAAGCTGCCCGTGGCCTCTGCAGCGCCGGTTCTGTTGTAGAGCAACCCCGATACAAAACGGGGTGCCTGACTGTGGGTCCTCACCCGCGCGCTTAAAAGGACTTATCCATGCTCTACTGCAGGCACACGTGAAAGGTTCATAAAAGGTTTATTGACAAGGGAAGGGGAAAGGAGGAAATGTACAGCTCAGGGAGAAAAGTGGGAGACAAAGTTTTAAATGAGTCCTACCCGATCCGCCGATCAGGAATCCCAAATGGCGCGCTCAGAGTTCGCCGCCAGCCAGGAGCCGTGAAGCCAGGAGGCGAGCGATCGCGAGCCAGAGAGAGACCAAGGACCACGTGTTTGGTTTTTATATCCAACCTGGCTGCCCAACTCCACCCTCAGGTCCCAGCCACCCTCCCTTGGTGGTGATGGGATTTGTCTTTCCCAATGTCCTGATGGCTTTAGTCTGGAGTGGGGGTGGGATCCACAAAGCCTGTATGGGATTAACTCAGGACATCCTCTCCCCCTAACAGTTCGATCCCCGGCTGCTCCCCGGTCACCGGAGGAGGGTCCCTCATGGCGCGCAGACCTCTCCTGCCGCCCGCTGCTCCCCTCAGCAGTGTCCTTCGGTCCTTCTGCCTGCTCTGCTCCCCGCTCTGGCTCTGGTGAATTCTCTCACCCTCCCGCGCTTCTGACTGTACCCAGTGCTTGTGTAAACAAACAAATAAATAAATATTTAAAAATAAATAAAAATCAAGTTATCTCCAAAATTGTTTCTTTTCCCTCCTCCCTTCCCTTCCTCTCTTTCTTCCCCAGGGAACTGCCTCCCTGTCCCAGGTGTGTCCTGCATTTCTCTGTGGGGGGTGCAGGGCACCGGACATGGCAGAGCAGAGGGGTAGAGGGGCTCAGTGGGCCAGGAGAGGGCCCCAGGGGGTTACCACCCCAGACTTCTGATTTCAAACCGCGGGGGCCTTGCACTCTCCACCTGCGTTAAGCTAATCCACCTCCTCAGAGTGATGGGGCACTGCAAGAGAATGGCCAGGCAGACCTGGAGCCAGCTGGGTCCCACAGCGTCTCAGGGCTGGGAGATGAGGCTCTCCCCCTGTAAAGGCTCTTCAGGGGCCTCCCTGGTGGTGCAAGGGGTTAAATCTCAGCACTAGGTATGGGCAGCCACTGCAGCACGAGCTCAATCCCCAGCCAAGGAGGTGACCCATAAGGCGCAGCAGACCTCTCCCGTCTCCCGCTGCTGCTCTCCTCAGCAGTGGATTTCAGTAGATCCCCTGTTCTGCTCCCCATTCCATTTCTGGCGAATCCTCTCAACTCCCTCTCCCCCCAGATCTCTGGCCTGCACCTTGGCTCTTGTATGCATAAAAAAAAAAATCTTTTAAAAAAAGAAAGGCTCTGGGGCCTTCCTGGTGGCACAGGGGGATTAAGACACAACCTATGAAGGTTTCCACAGCCTCTGCAGCACGAGTTCGATCCTCAGCCGGCCAGGGAGCAACCCACATGGTGCAGCGGACCTCTCCTGACTCACCTGTTGCTCTCCTCAGCAGTGTACTTCAGTGGATCTGCCTGTCCTGCTCCCCACTCTATCTCTGGTGAATCCTCTCACACACACACACCTCCCCCCACCCCCGCACCTCTGGCCTGTATCCCAGCTCTTATATGCATAAATAAACCTTTTAAAAAATAAAAAAAAAATTAAAAAAAATAAAGGCTCTTCAGCAGAACTGCCCTCTGGGCTGGAGGTGTCACTAGTGACCGTGACAGGTGTCTCCCTGGAACACCCACCATGCTCCTGTCTGCTGAGCCCCACCAGGACAGGCACTGGCCTCATCCAGCCCTCACAGGAAGGTGCTGTCATGACCACCGCTTAGCAGTAGAGGAAACCGAGGCCCCGCCCACCGGGTGAGACCCGTGTGCTGATCTCCATCTGACAATAAATCCACGCAAACAGGAATGTCGTGGAAAAAAATCCAAAAAATGTGTTTCCTTCTCTAAAACCTTTCTCTTCTAGTTGACTGATTGCTGCTCCCTCGGGCAGCGCTGACAGGACAGTTTCAATTAGGGGACAGTCAGGATTTAGGAGCAGGAAGACCTTAGCTCCAGCCCCCGCTCTGGCTCTGTGCCCCACCAGCACTGCATGACCTGAGTGGTGTGTGTGCATGCGCGCCAGTGTTTTGGGGGTGATGGTATTTGCAACTGCAGGGCTGTTACTGAAATGGCATTTGTTGTTTTGGAATAAGGTTACTAGCTGAAAAACTAGAAACAATGCAGATGTAAAACAGCCATTAAGTTGAAAAAACAGAAAACAAAAAACCGTCTTAGAGTATTCACTGGATGAAACAATACGTAGTCAAATAACATTCACCTGAACGCAACGTGGAATCCTGGATTGGATCCCTGGATCCAATCTCTTCCTGGATTGGAACAGAAAAGGGACATTATCAGAAAAACAGGAGATGTCGAATAAAGTCTGGACTGTACTCAATAGTATTCATGTCCATTTCCAACTGTTGATAAATTAATGTTAACACGAGGCGATGCCAGTACTATTTTTCGTTGTTGTTCAAAAGTTTAAATAAAGTTCATTAAAAATCTACAAATCACAATGTACCATGTACTCATTTTGTGGTTCTTGCTCCAATCTAAAATCATTCCCCATTCCCCAAAATGTTGAATAACATTCACAGGTAATATTCACGTCGTCTATTCAGTGCTGCCCAAGGGAGCCCAGGGATCGGTCAACCAGAGGAGAAAGGTTAGAGCAGGAAACGAATGGTTTGGATTTTTCCATGATGTTCTTGGGTGCGTGGATTTGCTGTCAGAGGGAGATCAGCAAATGGAGCTCACCTGGTGGGTGGGGCCTCGGCTTTCTCTTCCGTAATTTGAAATATTCTGTTTGGAGTATAGGAATGTTTAAGCCACAATGTTAAATGAAAAAAAAGAAAAGCAGAATATTTTTCTAGGTAGTGTGATGACAACTAGGCAGAAGTTTTTTTCTTTAAAAAGAGAGAAAAGATGTGCAAACGATCAACAGGTGTTTGGGGCGGCCATGAAACTGACAGTAACTTAAATCCTGCTGTTTTTATGTTCCCCAATGTTGCCATCACATGGGCTCGCGCCCTCAGAGCCCTGCAGAGGCTGCCCGGCCCAGAGGGGCTAGCTGATTTCAGCAGGACAGGTCCCTGGGATGGCTGCCCGGTCCGCCTCAGAGGCCCCTGGCGGCTGGGGAGCAGCCCTGAGCGCTCGTGGGACCGCACCCCCATCCACGCCTGGAGGTGCGTGCACCAGCCCGGTTTCAAATCCCAACTGTGTCACTTACTCGCTCTCGATCTGGGACGAGTTGCTTAACCTCCTGGCTCCCCGTCTGCAGACGGGGCTGCTGACTCATCCCCCTTGTAGGTGGTGACAAGCACTGGCTGAGTCTGGCTTGCAGGGAGCTCTGAGTACTTATTTAAAAAAATGCAGCTGGTGTCCCTGGAATGAATTTAAACTTCCCTTTTTGTCTGTTGCCCCAGATTCACAGCGGACCAGAAACCAGGGCGGCGGCCGGTCTGGGCAGGAGGCGGGCCTTGTAGTAAGCGCCCTGCCAGGGCTGTTGAATGAATGGGCGGGCGGTCCCTGCAACCCTCAGCCAGCTCGCAGGGGGGAGGGTGGGAAATCGAGATGGGAGGGGGAGGAGCTCCCAATGGGGTGTCAGAGGTGGCCCCTGGGGAGATGGGAGTCCCAGGGTGGGGGGTGGGGAGGTGAGGTCACAGGAAGTTGCACAGAGGAGGATCTGGGCACGTGACTGGTGACAATAGTGTCAAATTCTGTCTCAGGCCTTTTCTCTTTCCACTTGGCGGGGAAGTGAAAGATTATAGAGTGCAGGGTGTCCAGCGCGGCAGGGAACCCCTGGGGGGTGCCGCCTCTTGGCCCGTGGAAGTGAACCTGTGTCCCATGACCCAGGGCTGGCGACCTTGCCAGGAGAAGACTCTTCCAAGCTGGGCTGGGGCAAGGTCTGGGGCCCCTGGTGGGCTTGCTCTCTAGAAGGATCCGCCAGATCCTTTCCTTCTTGCCCTGACACCTCCTCCTGCTAGCCCCCCAGGATTGCCGGCCCGGGGGCCAGCCCACAGCACCTCACTTCCTGAGCGCCTTCTCTTGGGATTCCTTGTCATTCTTTTTTTTTTAGTATTTTATTTTATAGAATTCTTACATCATTTTTCATCTTTGCACAATGTATGCATTTTCGTTTTGGTTATATTCCCCATACAACTGCACCCCCCCGTATTTTGACCCTAATCCTTCCTCTCCCTGCCCACCATTCCTTGACATTCTTAAGTACTTTGACCACTGCCCCCTGAACCGTGGTACAAACTCTGGGGTCGGGGGAGGAAGACAGGGGCTGCGACCCCCCCACCAAGTCCCAGCTGCCTCAGGTGTAGCGGAGACAAAGTGAAGCCCGGGCCGGGGTGTCCCCCTCCAGCCCCCGGTCCACACACTTGCCGCGGCCCCCGGGCCCCAGGGCAGACTCCGGACAGCACGACCCTCACCCTGGATCGGCCGGGCCTGGCCGAGGGGTCCGGTCACCTGGCCTCTCTGAGCCTCGTTTTTTCTGCAGTGACTTGTTGGGGTGGGCGCGGCCGGTGGGCGGGGGCGGCGGGGCGGGGGCGCAGGGGCGGATCCAGGCCGGGCCCGCCGGCCGCACCCCTGCCCGGCCGGGAAGGGCTCCTGGCCTTGGGCCTGCTGCCCCCTGCTGGCCGCGGCCCCTCCCGGCGGCCCCGAGGCCCGGCCCCGCGGGCGCTGCCTTCGCTCCGGCCTGAGGCTTCTGGCGCGGTTTCCTCGTCGGCAGGGGAGGGCAGGGGAGGGGAGGGCAGGGGGGGAGGGGAGGGGAGGGCAGGGCAGGGGGGGAGGGGAGGGGAGAGCAGGGCCGGGCAGGGCGAGCGGGATGTGTCTGCGGGTGGTGCTCCCTCCCGACGCGGGCCCCGGCGAAGCCCCTCCGAGGGCCCCGGGGGCAGAGGCCGGACGGCCGGGACCCCGCCCTGCTCACGCCCCTCCACTTGGGGCCCGGCCGGAGCCGCCGGACACGACTCCCCCCCCCACCCCCGCCGGAGCCTGCGCCCCGCGCTCCCCACCGGACCTGGCGGGGGTCTCCTCCCCGCGGGGGCGGCCCTGGCTGCCGCCCGCCGTCTCCCCGGCCCTGCCAGGAGCCCCCGCCCCGCCCCGGGCGCGCCGAGGCCCCGTCCTGTCCCGGGAGGGCCTGCGCCCCGCCTCTGCCCCCGGGCCTGGCGAGCCAGGGCGGGAAGCGGGACAGGGTCAGACACACGCGCTGGGCCGCTCGGCGGACCCCGACGCCCCCGCGTGACCGAGGCCTCGCGCAGGGCTGGCGACTGTGTGGGCAGGTCGCACCCACGGGGTCCTCCCAGTCACCCTGGAGGCGTCGCTCACCCTCACTGCGTAGGTAAGGACCCCACCCCAGAGTCCGTGCACCCCGTCCCGGGTCAGAGCGGGTGGATGACCAGCGGCCCGACCCAGAAAGAGCCCCAGCTCCCGGCACCCAGCCCCCTGGTCTGACACAGCTGCAGGAACGCAGGGGCGGGCGGGCGCTGTTCCACTCTGTTTTGGGGGTCTCTGCTACTCACCCTGGCCCCAGACTGGGTCAGTTTCCTAGCTGCGGCTTTGGGATGACTTCCTGGGCCTGAGTTTTCGTCCTCCAAGGGGAGGGCCCAGGAGCCAAAGGAGGCCAGAGAGCGAAGGAGGGGGTTCTGACCTGGGTGATCTGCCAGTCACCCTCCCCTCTCCGCACCCAGCTGTGGGCTCGAGGGTGCTCTCTGGGCAGAGGGAAGTAGAGGCTTCATGACTCAGTGTGGGCCCCACCTTTCCCGGCCCAGGAAGCCAGGGAGTGGCCTGTCTAGAGGAGGTGACTTGGGGTCCCCACCCCCGCCCCTGCCTTCCGGGCAGACAACCCCAAGGCTCGGTGGAGATGGACAAACAAAGCCGTGGTGGTTTGTGGCTCTTGGCCCCAGCAGGTCCTCCCTGGCTCCCACCATCTGGCTGTGCCTTACCTTGGAGGAGGGGGTGCTAGGGGGCAGTGAAAGGGGGGCTGGGGGTGAGGAGGAGGAGAGGACAATATCAAAAACCAACACTCACAACCAGCCCCTGAGCGGCTTGCCCGCCCTCCTTTGACACCTGGGGTGGCATGGTGGGACGGCAGAGGCGTCCAGTGTGTCTGCGCCCCCACGTCTGTCGCTGGCTGCCTTCTCAGCTCCCCACGGTGGGAAGAGGCCTGCGTTCTTCACTCTCGCAGGGACCCCACCCTCCCTACAGGTCTCTCACTGCTGCCGCAGAGCTTCCCAGCCCAGAGTCCCCGGCCTTGAGGCCTTGGCATGTGGTGGCTTGTTTCTTGTGTCTGGACGTCTGCAGCGACCGGCCTGTCTCCTGCCGCCTCCGCGCCCGGACTCCTGCCCTCCTGCCGCCCTGGCTGGCTTCTCAGAGTGCAACCCGGCCTCCCCACAGCCCGGAGCAGCTGGCTCCACCACGGAGGGCCTGGCTGTGTGTGGGGTGTGTGAGCGCTGGAGAAGAGGGTGTTTGACTCTGAAGGGTTTGGGGTTGGGGGTGGGTGGTGAACAGGCAGCGACCAGAGTGAAGGGCTTGTCTAGGTGGGGAAACAGCTGGGAAAAGGCAAGGCTGGTTGGGCTCCCTGGTGGAGCTAGTGGCAGGCCACAGGGTGCAGGCTGGGGTGGGGGCTGGGGCTGGCCAGGCCTGCTCCTCTGGGCAGAAGGGCTGTGGAAGGCTCGAGGTGACGAGGTTACAGGTCACATGAGCTTTGGAGAGAGCTGTGCTGGGGCGAGGGGAAGGAGGCCTAGAGCCTGGACACAGGAGACTCCTGTGACCAGGAGGGCCTGAGGGAGGGAGTGCTGAGTGTTTCCGACGTGCAAGGCTCTGAGAAGTGGGTCCTGGCAAGCCCGTGTTCCCAGGGAGCTGAGAGGACCATGGCAAATGGTGATGAGGAGGCAAGAGAGGAGGTGAGGCTGAGGAGAAAGTGCGTGCATCCTCCCCTGCAGGATCCCTCCCCTCCAGCCTGCCCCTGCCTGCTCAAGGCCAGGCACCTGCAGCGCCCCCTCCCCTGCCTCCACAGGCCTCTGGGTCCTCTGCTCCCTGACCTTGACCTCCCAGCATGAGTCTTGGATGAAGCCCTCCCTCTGGCTACGGGTCCCTCTTCTTGGCAGACCTCCCTCTACTGAGGTCACCTGATGTAAACGTCTATCACGTCCGAAAAGCCCCTTCACAGCCACACAGAGGCCCGTGGTGGACCAAACCACAGGGCGCTGTAGCTACTCCAGTTGCACGTGGCTTTAACCTTAACGCCAATTTATTTCTCCATCTGATGACTGGTTTGCAATATTCCTGACACCGCCCAGAGATAAGCAACAAGGCGGAACTGATCCCTCCCACTTATCAGGTGATGGACAGAGACCACTCCAGGACCACGCCCGCTTCTTATCCACTGCCTTATTAATACTCTCCGCCTCCTCGGTGCTCATCCTCGGTCTTGCCAGCCTGTCCAAACGTCACATGGCATCCTGGGACTCTGTCGGGTCACATGAAGGGACTCACCACCCTGCTTCCTCCACCCCGCTCAGGGTGGCTTCCCTCGCCTTCATTCTGGGTCAGCCTGTCCTCTGGGCTTATCTTACAAACAGGCCAGTTTTGGGGGGGCACAGCTGTGGCGTTCCCTGTGTAATGTCCCCTGCTCTTGTCATAGTGTCAGGCACATTAGTCCCTCTGTTGGAAGAACAGCGGATTGAGTCCCTGGGCATCTCAGGACCAGCAGCATGTAGGGGCCTGACATCTGGGTTGACATCTGTCCTCACGCACAGGACGCATCCCCAGCCTGGCTGGGCTCCCTGCCACTCCTGCGTTTCCTGCATGCTGCCCCTCTGCCGTCTGGGGCTGGGCACCTGAGCAGCATGGCACCCCTGAGGTGGGGCTTGGGCCAGTCCCCATGGCCAGTGGGAGATTGAGTTTTGAGGAGTGTAGCCCCCTTACAATGGCACTTCTGTGTGCAAACCCAGATCTACTCCTGGCTCTCGAGATGGGACACCGTGATCCACCCCTTCCACCAGGGGCTCGGCACAGACATGAGGTGGCAGGATCCTGACTTCACCGAAGCTGAGGTCCTCACGCGAGAAGACTGTTGAGCAGGGCCGAAGTCAGCGTGAGGGTATCAGGCAAAATACCTCCCGAGGGAGCCAGGAACACTCATTTTTGGGAGTTAGAGATGGCTGAGCTGGGTTTCTCTCTCTGGGATGAGGGGCAAGGAAGGGAGAACAGGGAAGAACATTCTGGACAGGGGGTGTGTTTTGGGAGGAGCCATCTGGCTAGAAATCTAGGCCAGGACAATTTGCCTCCCGTGTCTGAAAGCTTATACTAAACCCCTCGGAGTGGATCCCGTAATCCAAGGCGGGGTGGGGGGGGGTTTCTCAGCAGCTCCCTAACATCATTTCACCTGCCAGAGCTCAGTCCTAAAACCTGAGCCCTGAGCCCTCACCTGGCGGAAGTGGTCCCGCCCCTGGACCAGTTTGGATGAAACTGAGAAAGGGGTTGGAGGTGGTTTGGCTTCATCAGGTCATTGAAGGCTTTGAGAAAAGACTGAGGTTTCCCGAGGAAGCTGGAATTCAAGTGCATGACCCAGAACCCGCCCGATTTTCTGGCCGGCCGCCCTGCAGGGTTTGGACTGAGACTTCAACATCAGCTCAGCTGGTCTCCAGCCTGCCCAACAGGTTTGAGATTTGCCAGCGCGGCGCCTGTTTACCGATGACTGTGAGCCTTAAAAGTTCTCTCCCTCATGTCTCTCTCTTTCTCTCTCTCCCCCCCCCCCCGTTCTGTTTCTCTACAGAACCCTGACTAATTGGTAATACAACATCATCTATTGAATTTGCAGGTAAAATCCTCGTGAGCCTTTGTGAGCACTGGCCACGGGCCAGGCACCTGCTAAGCTCTCTGCACGTAGCTCCGTGGCTCCGTGACACAGCCCTGGTTCACGGATGAGGACGCGGAGGCCTGGATAACTTGCCTAAGGTCCTGGTGTGGTAAAGCTGGGTTTGGATTCAGGCTGTTCCACTCCACGCCTCCACGGGGTGGACTCGCATGTAAGATGGAACTGGAACGGTGTGAAAAGGCATTCAACACAAGAGGACAACAGGGACCAGAGATGTCATTTCAGTTGTTAATTACTGGGGGATGGGCCTGGCCGAGAAACACGCCAGGGGAGGCCAAGTCCCGAAGGTGCAGTCCCGGGAACAGCCATAAGGGGGCGGCAGGTCCAGGATGTGCCGTCCAGGGCTGGGAGCTGGGACTCCTGTCTGAGATTCTATGGGAACCCATGACTGCCTGCCTCTGGCGGGGTGGGCCCCAGCGCCCCTTAACCCAGGCCTCAGAAGGGATTCACTCCAGTCCAGGGATCACCTCTGGGGTGGGTCCGACCTCGAAGGGGTCCACCTGTTTGAAGTGCAGTTCGGAGGTCTGCCTGGGGGTGGGGTCCAGTCCAGCCTAGCCAACTGGGCAGAGGGTCAGTGCCAGGCTCCTTCGGGTGCTGCGGGTGCGGGGAGGGCCCCAAGCCGGGAGTCAGGTCACCACGCAAAAGATCCTCCGGGTAATCCGCCGCCAGATGTTGCGACCGCGGCTGCTGAGGGCCACCTTGGCCGCCTCCTGGAAGACGGCCTGGACGTTCTCCTGGAGCAGAGCTGAGCACTCGAGGTAGGCCACCGCGCCCACCGACCTCGCCATCTCCTGGCCCTAACAGGGAGAGAACGGTCAAGTTGCAGGGAGCTAGGGGCCGCCACCCCAGGGTGTCTGCAGGACAGCAGTGGAAGGTCAGTTTTTCTCCAGGCTGGACCAAGCTTGCTCACAGCTTCAGCGGGGCGCCCCTCAGTTCCTGCACTGGGTGTCTGTTTCCCAAAGCATCGACAAACCAACCAATGAGCTTCCAGCCTGACCCTGGCCTGCAGACTGAAAGCTGGGGGTGCCAAGGTTCCCCATCTGTGAGGTGGGTGGGTAGGACTATCTGGTGTATACACCACTCCCGGCTTGGCCTCCCACTGGCAGAAATTTCCAGAGTATTCCAGGTACCTTTCCAAGTATCCCTCCACACCCTTCATACCCTGAGTGTGTGGGTGATCCGTGCTGCCGAGACAGAAGGCTGAGTCCCAGAGGTTCCCTCTGGGGGACCCCCTCCCCTGCCGGCCAGGCCGCCTACCCTGTGATAGGTCACTGGCTCCAAACGATTCTTCCGCAGTTTCTTCACCAGCACCTTGTCCTTGCGCAGGTCAGTCTTGCAGCCCACGAGGATGATGGGCACCTCCTTGCAGAAGTGACTCACCTCTGGGTACCACTGTGGGGCAGGGTGGCGAGGGCATGTGTGTCAGCCTGGAGGGTGTCCCTCTCCACCGATGGGAGGATGGGCAATCCCCCCGCCCAGGCATATGCTGGCCATGATGCCCAGCAAGGCCAGCTTCGGGAGCAGAGCTGAGCCAGGCGCTAAGACTTACAGGGAGGGGCTGGCCAACCCCACGAGTGCCCTCCAAACAAGTTCTAGCATCCTTGGTAACCTGGGCTCAGAGAAGGTGCTAGAACTTTGCCTCGGTCACACAACTGCAAGTGGTCTGATCTCTGGAGGTGGGGCCCCGAGCTCTGCTCCCAACTACTCCTGAATCTTGCCCCTCTCCAAGGTCAGGGGCCCCATGATCGCCTCCCAAATTGGGTAAAACATGAAGGAAATAAGTGATCTTTTCAAAATCAAGCCGCTCATGCAGCAGCTGTGGGCCTGCTGGACGGGGCCTTCCTGCCCTGTGTCAGCTGCTCTGTGGAATGTGAGGCCCTGGGGCCTGGGGGTTTCAGCCAGGACTTGGGGGCGGGGGGAACCCACAGAGGGGGCTTTATATCTCCAGCAGCACGTGCCTGCTTAGTTTCAGAAAAATGTTGGCATCAAACCATTTGGCTTCTGGAGACAGATGGGGTCCTGGGCACACGCCCCACCCCTCCACTCTTCAGAACCTGACCTCGGAAGGGCCCCTTCTGTGACCCCTCCTGGGGGACCCCACAGTGAATGCTCAGCCCTCATCCCACCTGAGTGCTGAAACCTCCTGACCAGGTCTGACCCTCCCAGACCCCACCCCCCAGGTTCCCCAAGCCCCTCCCCTGCCCCCTCTTTCCATCAGCAGCGCCTACGCCTACCTGGTTCTGTCCAGCCTGGCCCTGCCCTCTCCCAGGACCTGCAGACTCAGATTTCTCCCCACCCCCTCCCCGGGATGTCTACAGTCCTCGATTCACCCCACCGGGCCCAGCTCACTCCTTCTCATGGTGGGAAAGAGCAAGTTCCACTGTCTCCCCTCCGCAGGCCGCTCCCTCTGCAAATCCCGATCTCGCTGCCTTGCAGGGTCCGGAGCCACGGCCCCTCTCCGCCAGCTGGCATCCTGGTCCTAGTCCCTACCGTCTTGCTGGGCCCTCCGTGCCTGCAGCTGCGCCTGGCACATAGTGGGGCTCAGTGGGGACTTGGGGGTGACTGCGGAGCAGACCGCCTGGGCTCCAGTCCTGGGGCGGCCACTTCCCTGGAGTCACACCTGGGCGTTCACCACCCTCCCCAATCTGGACATAATATTAGCACCTACTCTTAAGGGGACTGGGGGGAAGCCCGGAACAGCACCTGGCACACAGCGAGGCTTCAGCACAGGCTTCCATCATCCCCATAGTGACTGTCTCTTTGTGGCCCAGGGGTCAGCTGGCACCCATGCCTTGGCTGGAGGTGATCCCAGCAGAAGCACTGGAGGGACGCCATCTCTGATGCCCAGGGACAGCCTAGAGGACCCCTCATATTCCAGGGGGACATCCTGGAGGCAGTGGCCATGCCAACAGTGGCTGGAGTTAGGGGTTCATATGTAGCCCTTGGGCAGATCCAGACTGGGGAGATACGGGGCCTCTGGGACATGCCAGGCATGGAGTCTGCAGCATGGGGCAGGTTGGGAGCACTGGACTTGGGTGTCCAGGCCAGACCCTGCCACTGAATCCCTGGGGTGGGGGGCAGGGAAGTTGCTGTCGGGGCCTCCATGTCCCCATATATTTGCGGGACTCCATGTCTTCCAGGGCCTGATGTGCTCCAGGCTGGGTCAAAGGTGTGGGTGCAGGGAGCAGCCTGGCTTCCGGGTGTGCCTCCCAGTCCAGTACCTACCCGGTTAGGGATGTTGTCAAAGCTGTACGGGCTGGTTACGTCGAAGCAGAGGAGCAGGACACTGGCATCAGGGTAGAAGAGGGGCCGCAGGCGATCATAATCCACTTGTCCTGGGCCGAATGGGGTAGTCACGCCCTCTGGCTCTCTTGCCCACCCTCGGCACCCTCCAACATCAGGGAGATCATTCCACCAGATGGGGGTCGGGGCCAGGACCCAGTTCTGTGTCTCAGGGTCTGACCCAAATTTGACACCAAGGGGCCCAATTCCACCTGAAAGCCCCCAGCAGCGCTGACCCTGCATGTACAGCTCAGCCCAGCTGAGAGGTCCTGTTCTGGAAGGAGTGGGAGGCCAGGCAGAGGCCCAGCCCTGAGGAACAGGCCGCCATGCAGAGCCTGCTTTGCCCTGGGCTTGAGGGGAGGGAGAAAGAGGCCCCTCCAAGGTCAGGGGGCAGCTGGGGTACCCTCATGTCAAAGGAGGCAGGAGGGCAGAACTTCTAGAAACTGAAGCCAGAGTGGAATGCTTAGGAGGCCTGGGACAGCCGCCCCTTGGGAGCAAAGACCTCTGGGCGCTCCTGTCTCTAGGACCTGGAGGACGCTTCCCCAGGGCAGGGGAGGCAGAGGACACAGGCACAGGAACAATGAGAGTTCGGTTCCCTGGCCCCCCACTGCCTTGGACCTGTTCAGAAGGAATGAGGGAAGGGGGTGCTCGGCCCCACCCCGCCCCCAGCCCCGCACACCCACCTGCTGTGTCCCAGATTTGGAGGTGCACAGGTTTGCCCTTCATCTGCAGATTCACACTGAGCCGCTCGAACACTGTGGGGGTGTAGCTCTGAGGAAGAAGGGGGCAAAGGGGAGCACTGTGAAGACAGTTTCTGAAGGGGGCAGGTCCCAGTGTCACCCTCTCAGCCCTCTTGGGAGCCCAGAGCGGGCAGTTCTGGGAAGAGGCTGACTGTGGTTGAGGCTCAGAGTTTCCCAGCTGGGACCCCTGCAAGACAGGAGCAGCGGGCCTCCCAGGACATCGTCGGGCCTCCCAGGACATCGCCGGGCCTCCCAGGACATCGTCGGGCCTCCCAGGACATCGTCGGGCCTCCCCAGGACATCGTCGGGCCTCCCCAGGACATCGTCGGGCCTCCCAGGACAACTTCGCAGTTCTACCCTCAAAGCCCGGTGCGCTAAGGCCTCAGCGCGGTGCTCCGTGCCCTGCCGGGACCTTAGCCCAAGGCCTGGCGCGAAACAGACACTCTGCAGCCAACTCCTGTTTTCACCGTCGTGTGCCGAGATGGGGAGATGACCCCATTCCTGAGCCTGCCTTCACGCTGCTCGCGGCTTGCGCCTTCTTCCTCCTTCGCTGCCTCCCCACTCCCCTCCACACTAGCATCTGCCTGCGGTCTAGTTCTGGGTGCTGAGGAACAAGCAACAAGCAGAGCTCAGTGCCTGCCCTGGGAAGCATGCCGCTTTTTGGGGTTCGTCCTTTGCCTCTCACACCCAACCAAGTCCACGTTCCCCAGACAACCCTCTGGACACACCCCATTTCGGCCTCTCATTTGTCTGGTCTCCCAGAGGTCACCCAGGCCGGAGGCCTCTCGCCCTGGGTTTGCTGGGCCCATGCTCTGCTTTCTATGGAGCCCTAACAAGTGAAGGGACGGGGCCTCCCTGGTGGCGCAAGGGGTGGAGCACAGCACCGTGATGCAGCCTCTGCGGCATGAGCTCCATCCCCAGCCGGCCTGGGAGCTGATCCACGGGGCGGGGCGCAGCAGACCTCTCCCATCTCCCTGCTGCTCCCCTAAGCAGTGCATTTCCGTGGATCCGCCTGCTCTGCTCCCCACTCTGTCTCTGGTGAATCCTCTCACCCGCTCCCCACCCTTCACCTCTGGCCTGTACCCCAGTTCTTATATGCAAAAAAAAAATAAATAAAAAACCCGGGCCACAGCACAGGCCCTCTCCCCAGGGTCGCAGTGGAGGGCTGCTCACTGGGGGCTGGTTGGTGGGGTCACAGCCCGGGGGTGAGTGGGGAGACCCTGTCCCTCCCCCGTCCTCTGCTCCACGCCGGGTGGGGCTCCCACCTGCCTGTGCCCAGGAGGACTTGGAGCTACTGATGCCCGACCTGGGAGGGGCGTGCCCTCTGTGGTGGAGTGTGGGCCACCCATTGAGCCTCAGGAGGCTGGGGGGACGGGAAGGAGAGCCCCAGAGAGGCAGCGGGGACTGGGCTGCTGGAGAGGCGGAGGATGGCCTTGGGGTAGCCGCTCAGCCCGCCCTGCCCTGGCGTCCCGCCCCTGGTCACTGCCTCTGCCGAGAAGAACAAAGGTGACCCCCAGACCCCCGCCTGCCCGGGCTCCTCCCCTCGGGCCTTGGCCTGGTAGGGCTCAGTGTGGCACCCCCGCTAGGACTGCTGGCTTGGGAAGCACATATGCCTGGCTTAGGAGCTGGTGCTGGCACACACTGGCCGTGTGGCCGTGCGCCGGTCCCCTCACTGGTCATAGCCGAAGCGTGTCGCTCCCTAGTGTGCCGGGAAGACTGGCTGGTGCCGGGACCCGGCATAAAGGCCGCCCTTTTAGAATGCTGGTTGCCAGGCAGTGTCCGACCTGGCCATTGGCCGGCCCTCCAGATGGTGTCCCCTGCCTCGGCGCTGCCAGCGCGTCACCCACACCTCAGCAGAAAGGAGGCGGCGCAGGGCTCCAGGGAGACACTCATCAGGGCTCCACCAGTGCCCGCGGAGATGACACCTTTGCCCGAGTCCTCCGGGGATCAGCTGTGCATGGCCTGTGAGCTTCGCGACCTTGGGGAGCCACTGCTGTCCCCCCCATGAAGGCGAGTCAGTACTGTCCCATTCCTGAGGACGCGGAGCCCAGAGGAAGTGACTTGCCTGAGGTAACCACTGGGACAGCCGGCCGAGGACAGAGCCAGGCCTTTGGGCCGCAGAGGCAGGCTCTGTCCTGGGCAGGAGAGAAGGAAAGCCGCACTTCAAGGTGCGGGGCTGGGGGGCTCCTCAGGCTTAGAAATGGCACAGCCCCTCCCCCTGATGCTGGAACGTCACCCTGGAGACTGTCCACACCTTCTGTGGTGTTCTTTGGACCCAGAGGCAGGTCACTCTGTGCAAAGGCCCAGCGGGGCTCAGCCTTATCTGTCAGCTCTCCGTAGTCAGAGCAGGGCTGGGCCGGGCCGAGCTGGGTCAGCCCGATGACTCAGGCTTGGTCTGCTCTCACGAAGCTCACAGACGGTTCCAGGATGGGGGACACAGAATGGCAGCACACTCCTGGGACCCGCCCTATGTGAACTAAGAAGGACCCAGCTGGTCCCGGAAGGCTGCGCTGGTGCTCCCTGCCCCCTCCCGCCCCCACCTGCTGGGGGCCCCTGGGCTTTGGCCCTGTGGGAAGGTTGCTGCACCTACTGCCACCAGGCCCAGGCAGGGACTGGAGGACCCCTCCCACAGGAGCTCTCTCTACCCTATGCCCCTGCTCTGAACCCAAGGTTGGGCCACAGTCAGATGAGGGTCCCCGAGTCCCCTCCAAACCCCAGCCTGCTTCTGCTTTGTGCAGAAGGGAGTGAGATGGACCCCAAGTCTCCCTTATGTTGGCCCTCTGGGCTTGGAGAACTGCCTGGAGGAGGAGTCCAGAGGCAGGAGGAGAAGACTAGGTTGGATGGGCTTCAGAGGGTATCTTGATCAGGGCTGGGGGTCACTGTTGGTCCTTGACCCCAAGGTGAGATGGTCTCTCTGGCTTCTGGCTTCTCAGCTACCAAATGAAGGCCTTTCCAGCTCTTGGACCTTGGGGTGCTTTCAAAGCCAGAGGGGCTTCGCATGCCAGGAGGGGGAGGAGCCCCAAGGAATCCAGGGTTCCCCAAACAGGAGAAGAGCCTAGATAAGGCAGGGTCCATCCCCTGGGGACAAGCATGGTTCTCTGTCTCCTGACCGGCCTCAGCATGTCCTTCAAACAATCAGCAGCATGATACCCACCTCCGCAGCGAAACCTGCCTGAACCCGGTACACCCCCCCAGACCCAGCCTGCGAGGTGCCCTCTCCCGGGCCCTGGCTGACCTGGCCCCTCTGTGGGACTCTGGGTGGTGCCATAATTGTTGGTTTCGCGGGGCAGCATCTGGGGGCCCGGAAACACGCCCCCTCAGCTTAAACCAAATGTGCCTGGCCAGCGGAGATGACATCAGCTCCACAAACCACACCAGAGCAGGCTCAGGGCTGCCACCACGGGAGCAAGGCCTGGCCTCTCCTGCTCCTCCATGGACTCCCCGGCACCAGCACTACCCTGGGGTGTTGGCAGACACTGGAGTAGGCAGGGGGCAAAAAATGCTGGAAGCAAACCCTTGGGCTCCCAGAACTGGGCTGAGAGGTAGGTGCCAGGAGGGTGGGTCCAGCCCCATCCTGGCCCTGGCAGGTCCCGGTGCCCAGCAGGAGTGCGCTGGGGGACCATGGCAGCCAGCATGCCGGAGGGGTGTGGCCGTGCCCGGGCAGGCGCAGTGGTCTCTCCCCCTCCCCTCCCCCTAGAGTCCTCTACCCTGTGTTTGCGGGAGGAAACGGGCTGGGAGAGGTGCGCAAATTACTCAGGGCCACACCTTTGGTGCCGAGGTGCCACGCCAGCCGTGGGCCCCGAGCCTGGCGCGCTCAGGCCAAGGCAGAGCCCACGATGTCCACTGCCCGGCAAGAGCTGGGGGAGGAGAGCCTCAGTTTCCCCAGAGTGACCTTTCAGAGACCCCTGGGTCTGTCTGACTGCCCTCCCGGGGGCCCGGGGGCGAGCGCCGGCCTTACTCTCACCAGGCGAGAAGGCACCAGGCACAGCAGGGCAGGGCTCCCCACGGGCGCGCAGCTCTCAGTGGCGAGGGGACCCGACCCCAGCCCTCGGCTGCGCCCCGGTGCTCTCCCCGGCCGGCGGCCGACGCCTCTCCGGGCAGCTGTGCTGCTGCCCTCCCAGGCGGTGCCGCGGGCCGGGAGCCCCGGGCCGGCCAGGGCGACCCCGCGCCGGCCCGGCGAGGCGGGCGCAGCGCCCAGGGCGCGGGCACTCACCTCGGGGAAGGCCCCTTGGGCGAAGACCATCAGCAGCGACGTCTTCCCGCAGCCGCCGTCGCCCACCAGGACCACCTTGGCCGAGCGCGCGCCCGGCGGCGCCTCCTCGCCCGCGGGCTGGGCCGCCCTCATCGCGGGCCGGCGGGACCGGGCTGCGCGCGGGGCGCCCGGCGGGGCAGGAAGGTGGAAGGGGCGGGGCGGCCGGAGGAAGTGCGGCGGCGGGCGCCGGCCCAGGTGAGGGGCGGGCCGGCCCGCGGGCCCCGCGAGGAGCAGCTGGCGAGCACCTGCTGCGTGCGCGCGCTCGGGACAGCCTCAGCCTCGCGCTCGAGGGCGCCCCGTCTGTTGTAGGGGGCACAGGTAGCCGGTCAGTGGAAAGGGGGCAGGGCGAGGAAGGTGGCGTCAGGCTTGTTGCCCCACCAGCTTAGTGAGGACGGGGGCTCGGTCCCTGGTGCCCGTCGGGCGCCAAGCAGGAGCTGGGGACTCCTGGCGCGTGCATGTCTGCAGCCAGGTGGGAGCCGTGACCCCTTTCGGGTTAGTCGCGGAAGCTACCAGCCTGGCCTCCCCACCCTCAGCACCAGAAGTTTCGCTGCAGGCCGGTGGGTGCCTGGTCCCACCTCTGACTAGTCTCTGGGAAGTGACGGAATCTTCCAACTATAAAGAGCTGGGACAAGACCTGGCACAGGGTTGGCACCATGTGCAAAAGATTCTGATTATTTAGTCAATGCTGATGGACCCTGTGTGCCCGGGGACCCTGTGCCCAAGGGGTGGGGACCTAGAACTGTTCAAGACAAAGGCCCCTGCTGGGAAGCGCAGCCTGGAATGGCGGCAGGCAGGGCACAGGAGTGAGCCCCAGGGTCAGGAAGAGGTGCTCCTCCAGGGGCTGAGGGTCAGGGGCGCTTTCCAAGAGGAGGGGTCAGAGGCTTGAGGAAAAAGGGAGACACGGTCTGATGCAGGAGAGGGAAAAGTGTTCCAGGCAGGAGGAACAGAACATGCTAAGGCAAGAGACAGTGGCGCACTCTGGAGTCAGAAATACACAGAATTAAACGAGACGCTCCGCCACGTGACTGCTCACCCCTGTTGGGAGCCAAATTCTTTTAAAAGTGGGTTCCAGGGTTTTCCCAGATCCTGGACGGGGTGTTTTCATTGAAGCTCAAAGAAACAGGGTGGGAGGTTTTGGGTTTTGCAATGCTCCCGCCACAGGTCATGATGTCATCTTTTGTGGATTCAAAGGCAGGCAGGTGCAAAAGCACCCTCTGCCCCCATCTCTCTGTGACCCAAAAGGGCAGCTGTGCCCCCCCCACCTCTGCACTGGCACAGAGGCGGAGCTCAGATCCTTAATTCTTACTCCAGCCTCCCCCAGGGTCATAGTCATCAGGCTGAATGAAGCCTCACTGAGTGGCTGGAGCACCCCAGACACCCCACTTTTCAGGTGCCCCTTGTTGCCCGAAACTGCTGCGGGGCTGGGCAGTCACCGGGCACTGGGTAAGGTGTAGAATTACGCAGGTCTCCCCGCCCCAAGGAGTGGTGGGGAGGGCCCCCTGGTCAGTTGTCAGCTTTGTCACCCCCAGTCCTCTGCACTGCTGCTGTCATCGCCTCTGAGCGGCAGGGCTGGGTGGCAGGTGGGGCCAGACTGCGGGTGGAGGGAGCCGAGAGGCAGGCTGAGGCGGCAGGCCTTGGTTGCCATAGCGACACTCACGCGGATGACACCCTTGATGTCTCATCATGCTTCACAGTTTCACTGAACATCTGACACCAACAGCCAGGCTGGCTAACGCGTGCGGGCGCTGCCCCTGGCGGCAGGAGTCGGCCCCATTTCACAGATGTGGAGCCTGAGGCCCGGGATGGTGCCAGAAATTCTCACCTAAGTTCTCCAACTAGTCAGCAAGTGGCAGAACCGAATTTGAACCCAGGTCTGACCCCCAAACCAGATGTGTTATTTCATTCCACACTCAGGTTGGGGGGCGGGGAGCAGAGCAGGCCATCTGCTCCCTGCTGTTCTACAGATTTGGGAATTGAGGCTCAGAAGGAGGGAGTGACTCAGGCCAACCAGACGTGGAGTCTGGATTTGAACCCACATTTCCTGCTGTCAAGCCCCAGCCTCACCCCACTTCCTCTGCCAGAGCAAGGCTCGTCACTAGGCGAGGAGAGCGGCCCTGGTGGCGGGCACTTTCCCCGTGTCCCACACGTCGCTGGGCTCTGGCCAGCGCTGCTGACCTGGACTTAATTTTCACACGAGAGTTGGGCCGGTCGCGGTCTGCTGGGTGAGGATTCCGTGTACTGTGTTCCTGTGGCTGCTGTTTGCCACCAGCCTCTGGGTGACTCAGTCCCTTGGGGCCCACGGGCTCCAAGCCCAGAGTCCTGAGGCACCTCGCACACTCCAGGACAGCAGAGGGGCCTCCCGGACCTTCCCCCTTGGGGACACGGGTGGTCAGGCAAGACCTTCCAGCCCCAGGCAGCCAGGGACACAGCAAGGGCTGGCACCCAGCGTGCTCCAGGGTGCTGTGGGCAGCTGACCACCTGACTGGACAAGGAGGGGAACGGAAGGAAAATGAGGGAGCAGGGGGAGAGGGAGACCGGCCACTCGCGAGCATAGACCAGCTGAAGTGACTAAAGGAACAAATGATTGCCCGGATGAGCGAATACAGTGCGTGGCCAGAGTGTGGGTGCAGCAGACGGGTGGCCCCCCAGCCCCACCTTCCATTACTCCAAGACACACCTGGTCTAGATCCCCCCCCCCCCCCCCCCATTTTCTGGCACCTTGCCCCTCCCTCCCTGGGGCTGAGTGCCCCCTCCAGCGGGCCGAGTCTTTGCTGCCCCCGTGTGGCCACTCTGCTCCCCGCACTGTCATCACTTGGTTGTCTGCTCTTGGCTTCTTGGCTCCGGTGTGGGGTGCTTCCGGGTGGGGGAGCAAGGGCAAAGGGAGTCCCTAGGGGGCGGGAATTCAGAGGGTTACTCCTGCCCCTTGGGATTCCTTGGTGGGTACACAGGCCTTTGCTCCCCATGCCCCCCCAAACACCCATCCCACCCAAACACCCCACCCCAAACACCCAACCCAAGAGCCTGTCTACCCAAAGCCTGGGCCTCATGCTTAGTGAGCACCTTCTTGGGCCAGACACCTGCCAGGGGCCACCTCATTCCCCCCCATGAAGCATGGCTAAGTCTTATCCTCCTCTGACAAATGGGGACGCTGAGAGGCTCAAAGGTAATTTGCCCAAGAGCCCACGACTGTGGGAAGATCTGGGGTTCTAACCCAGGCAGCCCCCACACACCGGAATCCCCAAACACCAGAGGTGTGGTGGTCTTTGGAGGCCTTCTTGTCTATTAAGCCTATTCTTCACATGGGGAAACTGAGGCTTTCGAGAGAAAGGGACTTGTCACACAGCCAGTGAGCGGCTGACCCAGGTCTATGGCAGGCAGAAGGGCCAACTCAACCACAACTGCCATTTAGGTCCAGGCTCCTTGTTTGCCCATCCCCGACCCCCCCCCCCAGTCTTACAGACCCTTCTGGGTGGCTCCAGACACTTGAGACACCTTTGGGCAGGCAGTTCCTCTGCCTGGAGTCACCTCTCCCTCCTCCCTTGCTGCCCTCCCTGCCTTCCTCTTTCCATCTCCTCCAGGAAGCCTTCCCTGGCCTGTACCCTTCAGGGGCTCCTGAAATAGCCTGTCTCCCCAGTATGGGGTGGGAGGGTGGGGTTGCACAGAAGCCCTTCTCGGTCAGGCCCTGTGGTGGGCACACCTCCTGGGGGCTGCTGGGATCTTCCGGGACAGGGGAGGGGAGCAGAGGGCAGAGAGAACCCGAGCAGCCTGGCATCTAGAGGGACTTCTCTGCTGCCTCCCGGCCCCACCCTGGAGGAATTAGGGAAGGGGCAGCGCGGCCAGATGGCCTGAGCGAGCCTGAGACTTTCTGGCTGTGTGACCTCGGGCTAGTGACTTAACCTCTCAGGGCTTTAGTCTCCACATCTGCAAAGTGGGGGTGACACCAGCCCCCACCTCAAGTGTTGGGGGGCTACCATCTTCACTAGACTCAAGAACCTGCTCCCCTCTCAGCCTTTCCCCTGACTCCCCTCTCCCAACTTTGTTCTAGTAAGGTGGGCGAGTTGGCCCAGGCGCGCCTGCTCCTGCCATTTCCCATGTGTTTTTCCCTCCGCTGGGAACGCAGCTGCTGCCAGCCCGCCTGCTATTCTCCTCCTTGACCCAAAGACTCAGGTCAGCGACACCCCCAGGAAGCCTTTGCAGACAGGCCTCACGGCTGTCCCCCCACCGGCCTGGCATTGGGCCCCTTCTGGGAGACTCCCACAGCCTGACGGCCGTGGTCCTCCTGAGGGCGCCTGGCCCACGTAGGGGCTGCCCCCCTTCCCTCTGGGCACCCAGCAGGGGGACAGGAGTCACTGTGGGGAGGCCTGAGCCCCAGCTTCCTGGAGAAGAGATGAAAGTGACTCAGGGCTAGGCAGGGCTCCCCAGAAGCCCCCCTCTCCTGCCCCAGCTTTATTTGGTTCTAGTATCATTCCAGTGGGCATCCTCGGTGCCCGCACCGTCCTCGTGCACAGCCACGTTTCATGCAGTTGGGGGGGTTGGGGAGGGGCGGCGTCTGCTCGCACAGCTGGGGGGGCGGGAAGAGTCAGGAGTCTCCCAGGCTGCAGCAGGGTGGGGGCCCGGCCCGGGGCTGCCCTGGGCTGGCAGATCTCTGGCTGATGACCACCGGGTGGGCAGCCTGGCTTCTGGGGTGGGCCAGGCAGGGGCCAGGCGGGGGACGCCACGTTCTGCCTCCAGTCTCATGACCACCCTGGGCCACCCACTCCCATATCAGGAGGACGCCTGGTTGGATCTGGGTCTCCAAAGCCCCCCAGGATGACAGGCTGCCATGCGCTCAGCTGTGGGTGGCCCTGGAGAGCAGGTGCTGCTGCTGTGAGTGGGGGCAGGCGGGGGAGCATCCCTTTGACCTGCAGGGACTCTATCCCCCACCTCTGAAGGGCACCTGCTCCCCCCAGCCCCCCAGGGCTGCCATCCTGGGGATGGAGCTGACTCAACCAGTGACACCCCACAGGGTGGGGTGGGCAGACTCATGTGGGGGGGTAATGGCTTAGCTTCCCCGCAGGACCTCTCCTGAGCTCCCCACACCACCGGCAGCCTCTCTAAAATCAGAACTCGCTTGGCCTCTTCCCTTGCCCCAGGCGCCGCTTCTCCCTTGGGGGGAGAGGGGGCTTGTTCTCTTTAACTCTGCCCGGGACTCAGAGCCCCTCTGGCTGAGCCCCTCCAGCCCTCCAGGGCCAGTGGAGGACGCCAATGAACAGCAGGTTTGTGTGGGGCTGAATGCGAGGGCCTGGGGCCCCAAAAGGGTCTCCATCAAGGGAGTGGATTCCCAGCAGGACAGGGTGCCTGTGCCCGCATGGCCTGCCCGGCTCTGTCCGCCTGGTCTCCCCCGTCTCCTGCTCAGAGAAGGCCGCAGCGCCCACCCGGTGAGCTGAGCCCAGGGATGCCCGTGGCCCTGCCGTGCTCAGGCGGGGCCGCCTGTCCGGGACACTCTTATTTCTCTGCTCCCCCTCAGAGCATAGCTCCCCCTGGTCCTCCCAGCCCCCAGAGTGCTCCCCAAGTCCTGAGTTCCATCTGCAGGGCCAGGGCCGGCACCCAGCCCTCGGCAGGTCACCACTGTGGGGCCCTCGTCTCCTGCTGTCCTGGAGGCTGCGTCTTGTTCGGTCATGCCTGCCGGTGCCTGGCACAGCGCTGGCCCCCAAGGTTCCTGTCCGGGGGAGGAGGCCCAGCTGGGCCCTGGGGGCCGGGGCGCCTACCTGCCCTGAAAGTCAGGCCCCGCCCCCACAGCTGAGGGCAGATCCTCCTCGGGGTCTTGGCCTAGCCTCAGCTGGTCCCGGGTGGGAGGAAACCCCGGGTCCCTGACACGGAGCCAGGCGGCTCCCCCACGGCAGTCCGGATAGAGAGGCCGAGATGACCGGGCTCCAGGCGGCTCCGTGCCCGCCCTCCCTGCCGGGCTGCTAGTCTCGCCGGAGGGTATGCCACATGGACACCGGCCTGCGCAGTGTGGCTAGCATCTGGTTCCAGTGCGTGGTGCCCATGCCGCTGGCCGACGAACCGATGATGACGTGGCCCACGTTGTCCCCGCGGCCATTGCTGCTGCTCTCTGCCACCGTCACACGGAGAGACAGGTCCTGGGGAGGAGGTGACAGGGTGCTGGGGAGCAGGGCAGTGCCAGCAGACCTCCTTGGCTCCTGGGCTCCAGCTTGCAATCCTAGGGGTGCCTGGCCTGGCTCTGCCTCCTCACCGCTGACCTGTCCAACCCCACGGTTATCTGCGGCCACCTCCCTACGTGGCCACAGCACCAGATGCCCCAGTTCAAATGCCAGCCTCACTACCTCCTTGCTGTGTGACCGTGGGCTCACTGCCTCAGTTTCCCCATCAGTGAAATTGGGCAAGAATAGTTCCGACCTCTTCTGGGAACTAACAAAACTGCAATGTGTAATGTGCCAAGGGGGTGCCTGCAGCAGGCAGAGAATTTTAGGTGTCAGCTGTGTTTCCTGATGGAGTATGTCCAGCTTGTGACAGACGAGGGGAGAGAACTTGCTGGGGAGCAAAGCTGTGAAGCTGCAGCTAGAACCTGGTCCGACTCCTCTCCTCTTTCTCCCGCCCCTCCCCCAGGGTCCCGCGGAGTCTCATGCCCTCACAGGCTGCAGCGAGGTGGTACTGTGACCCCCCCAGGGGACACCTAACCCATGAGCGTGGCAGGACCAGGCCAGGACACCCAGGACAAGCCACAATGTTGGGCTGTGTGTCTGCATCAGGAACCCCCAGAGTGAGGCTGAGTTCCAGGTTTGCTAATTTAAATGGGGTGTCCCAGGAGGGGAGATGAGCCCCATGTATAAGGGGGCAGGTTGTGGCCCCAGGCACTGGAGGACTTTCTCATGATCAAGGACGCCCGCAGGTGGAAGCCGTGATGGTGGTGAGCGCCCCGTCCTTGGAGGCATGTAAGCAGAGGGTATTGGCATGGCCCAGGCTGTGTCCTCTGCAGCCCCCACCCTGGGGTCTGTGAGATCTGTGCCGGGAAGGGGTCTCCCGGGGGCACATTGCTTTCTTAAGGCTCAGCAGGGTCCCTGCAGGTAGCAGCCTGGGAGGCCTGGGGCCCTCAGCTTAGCCCTGGCTCCTCTCTGGGCCTCTGTGTTTCCTTCCACTGGGAACTTCTCCAGATCTCAGCGCAGCTAACCCTTGCCTGACCCCCAAGTCTAGCTCATTCTCCGTGGATGAGGGTGATCGGGGGACTCCCCTACCTGTCCCTCATGAGTGCCCATGTCCCCAGCACCTCCCACAGGGCTGTGCCTAGTGGGCACTGGACCAGGCTTCCGGACTAGAAAGATAAGGGCTTGAGGTCAGCCGTCCACTTGCAGGGGCCCTGAGCCGCCAGGCCGGCCACAGGGGGCTGGTGGTCGGGCCCCGTGCCTGCGCCCCCTCACCTGGAGCGCGATGGCCGGCACGGAGAAGATCATGGCTTCGTTGAACACTGGGTTGGGGTCGTCCCTCTTCACTGCTGTCTTCTTTTTGCTCATTTTCCTCCCATCCTGCAGCAGGTACACCTTGACAAAGGGGTCTGGGGGGGCAGAGTTGGGTGAGGGCCAGGGCCACACTCACCGTGGCAGCCCTGCCCTGTCCCGCACGGCCGCTGCCCCAGCTGCGCTATGGCCATGTTCTCCCACAGTCCTGCCTGGGTCCTTTATTTTGTTCCTATTTGACAGATGAGGAAACTGAGGCTCACAGGCGCGTCAGGAGGAGCGCTGGGCTCAGGACTCAGGCAGCCACCTCCCAGCTACTGCAGCTCCCCTCCCATGACACTCTGGGGAGCTGGGCAGGCCTCCCACTTTCCCTTCTATAAATGGCCTGACGCAGATGTCAGCCCGTGTCCTCGCTGCCTGCTCAGTGGAGCCTGACTCGGACGTGCAGAATAAGTCGCCGTCTGCACCCAGCGCCCACAGGGTGTCGGGCTGTGCCTGCCTGCATCCAGCCTCCCCCAGCGCCCAGTGCCCTGACTTAGTTCCCGAGGCAGCAGGTCCACCTGGCTCCACCATCTGCTGCCCTGGTCCCTTTAATGGGAGCAGGATGCACCCAGCCTCTGGGCAAGGAGACGCCCCATGAAGCCAGGCCTGGAAAGTGGGGCACATCATGCTTCCCTGACCTGGCCCCATGTGCTGCCTATGCTCTGACGTCCATCACCCCCACCTCCCCCCCGGCTCCCTGCACCCTCTGTGGCTCCCAGGTTTCCGTGTGGCTCAGCCTTCCTACCAGGCATGGCTCCTGAGTCCAGCTGGGAGGGCTGGCCCGTGCCCACACCTGCTGAGGCCTCTAGGTGCCTGGGCTTAACAGCTGGGCCCCGGCCCCCCAGCCACAGGGAGCCAGGCTGCCGCAGGTCCTTACCTGCTGTGGTTTTGTCATTGGTCCAGATGAGGTTCTTGGCCTTCACCACCACCACGGTGAGGCGCTCGGCGGTGGGGAGGTAGCTGAGGGACAGCAGGATCTCCCCCACTGCGTCAGCAGCCTGGAGGACAGATGGCGGGGTCAGCGGGCTTGTGCGCCCTGGACGTGAGGCCCAGGGAGAGGCAGACGCTTCCTTCCCCATGGGGAAGTTGTTGCCTTGAGGATCCCTCTGATTAGGGTGCCAGGCTGGTGGGATGGAGAAAGGGACCCCTCCCTGCTCCGTGGAGCACAGACCACCCTCCTCTCCGGGGGGCAGGGTGTCCAGCAGTGGAAGGAGGCCGGGGGTGCCTGTGGAACATAGCAGCTGGATGTGGTCACGTTCCTTTCCGGACCAAGGAAAGCTGGGCAGCGGGGCTGCTGCGGGCAAAGTGGGGGCTCAAACAACCACGTCGCCCCCAGGCTGGCCCCGGGGGACCCTGGCGTAGGCCGTCCTGCACCGGCTCAGGTTCTCTTTAAATGTCCTCAAGGTGTGGGTGCTTTGCACAGCGGGGTCTGTGCTTGGAAGCCCCCACCGCGGAGCCCCAGGGTGCGCGGGGTGCAGACGGACCTTGTTCTGGTCCTGCAGGTAGAGCCAGCCGCCGAAGGGCTGCCGCGGGAGGTCGAGCTCCGACAGCCTGAGCTCCACCGCGCCGGTGCTCACGTTCCGCTCGTCCTCGTCGACGCCGAGCACGGAGAACCGCAGGCTCTTCTCGTCCAGCGCCGCGGGGTCCAGGGGCACGGAGAACTTCTCGTCGAAGAAGATGGAGCAGGCGTTCCGCTGGATCTGCGGAGAGAGGGCCCGGGGAGGGGGCGGCACGCTGGAGGGAGGTGGAGCCCCGAAAGGAGAGATCCCCAAGGGGGGTCCAGAGAGCTGGGCTCCGGTCCTGGCTCTGCAGGCCCCACAACCTCACAAGCTTTCTCGGGGGTCTCAGCCTGGACGATGGAAGCCCCCTCATACTCCTCTCTGCATCTGGACCTTCCACAGTCTGACCCAGCCAGTTCCGTGCCGGTGCCCCCGGCCTCGCAGCCCTCCCGGCGCTGGCTGAGCAGCGCGTCTGTCCTGCCTGTGTTCAGTCCCGACTCGGGCCAGGCGTGCAGGGGGCAGAGGATCGTGGCGTCCAGAGCCACTGATGTCCGGGCCAGCCTGATGCGGGACGGATAGGAGGACACAAGGATGATGGGTGGATGGAAGGAAGGAAGCAGAGAAGGAGGGCAGGAGGCAGGGAGGCCTGCTGGAGGGAGGGACAGGTGGTAGCGGGGAGGGGCTGGGCAAGGCTGGGCAGACTCCCTTCCCAGCCCAGTCCTGCCTGGTGGGAGCCACTGGCCTCCTTCCCAGCACTGTGGGCCGCCCTGGGAAGACACTCTTGCAGCACCGCCCCCCTCCCCGGGGAGCTGCTTAATAACTGCCTGGCAATATGAAAGAGACGAGTCTCCATCCCTGGCACCTCGCCTGAAGTTCCGGGCCGCCCAGCCCGGGCAGCACCCACTCCTGGGAGCGGCGGGAGGATGGTCACAGCCTCCTTCTCGGAGTAAGTCCAGGGAGGGCTCTGGTTCCAGGAGCTGCCCCACCCACCGGCCTGGGAGTCAAGGGCGCCTCCCCCAGGGGCGCCCCCTTTTGTGGGCACTTGGAGTCTGCAGGGCCCTCTGCCCTCCTCTGGCCAAATTAGCCTCGCTGCTGCCTCTGCCCGAGGGCTCCCCCCACCCCGCCCCGACGCTCCGTGCCCTGTGCTGTGTGAGCATGAGGGAGAGGAGGAGGGGACCGGGCAGAGCCCCGATGCCTGCTCACAGCTGGGGATGTCCTGGGCAAATTCCCTTCTTGTGCCTCGGTTTCCTCAGCAGTAAGATGCACTAACGGTCCCTCCCACGGGGGCCGAGGAAAGGGCCGCGGGTGGACTGGCTCTGGAGCGGGCTGTGTGGCTGCTGACGCCCCCCTCACGGGTGTGACCAGGCCACCTGGGCCGGCCACAGGCGCGCGGGCCTAGGCCAGATGAGAACGCCTCATGGGCCCAAGACGCTTACCCGGAATCGGGGTTACAGAGGAGTCTGCATATATTAACCATCCCTTCCTCAAGAATTATGCCCAGCTGACAGATGGGAAACTGAGTCACAGAGCACTTTTATGTCTTGCTCCGGGACATGTTGTGAGGATTCAAAACGAGGCATTTGGGTTCCTGGGTCCTGCTCTTGACCATGCCCTGGCCTGCCTCTCGGGAGCTGGGCTGCCCTCTCGTGGGGCTCACAGGCCCCTGACTGGTCCGCTCCAGACCTCCTGGAGGGGGACTGTCCAGCCCTGAGCGTCAGCTAGTTCCAGCATGCATGTGGCTGGATGCTGTGGGTCTGAGGGGTCAGAGGCACTTGCTCCAGCAGATTCTGGCCTCCTCCTGCCGGGTCAGAGGTCAGAGGTTGCAGTGTGCTGACTGTCCCGCAATCCAGTGTGGAGCTACTGCCCCCCGTTCTGGGTGGCAGGGTGTGTTTTGTGTTAGCTTTGCTCCCTCTTGGCATGGAGGGGTGTGGGGGGTGAGGTTGAGAGATGTGGGGGGATGCTGTTGTCTCCCTGACCCCTCTCTGGTTTACTCTCTGCCCGGCCCCGCCCTGAGCTGACCTCCACGGCCTGTTTCAACAGGCTCCCTTGACCTCTGGTTTCTGGTGAGGCAGGTCAGTGGGGCTCACCAGAGGAAACCGGTCAGAGGGAGGTTGGGGTGCCATTCCCCCAGGACTTCCCTGAGGTAGGGTGGTGGGTTGACCATGTCCCTGGACAGAGGGCCCAGCACCTGTGGAGTGGCCCGTCCTACATGCCTGTCTCCTTTTGGATCCGATGTCCTCATCTCCACCCCAATCCCTCAGACCATCCCTGAGGTCACCCAAGCCCCCCATTATTAACAGTCCTGTTGGCAAGCCCTCCCGCAGTGAATCAACTTGAGCGTGTCACCCCTTTTCTGCCAGGTCCCCAAGTTGACACCAGGGGCAGGTGTGGAAACGGACAATGTCCACACTCTGGATTTGAGGGTCGGATGCTGGCACTGCCATTGTTGGGAGCTGAAGGTGGAGCCCCAGACTTGGGGCTGGGTCCTCCCTCAGAATCACCAACCAAACCGGCTCTCTAGCCCTGCCTAGGGCGGACCTGCAGAGCCCGGGGTGCCCTCTGCCCACCCCATGCCGGCTCGCACTTACCCGAGAGATGCCCATGATCTGCTCCTCAGGCAGCAGGCTGACGCGCACGAAGCAGGACCCGAAGCCACCTTCCTCCCGTTCCAGCAGGTCCTTGCCCTCCAGCACAGCCACGTGCAGCGTGTGGGAGGCGCTGTCGTAGTCCATGCTCACCTCCACCTGGCCCAGCGTGAAGTCCTGCCCGAAGGTGTTGCTCACAGAGGAGATGGAGTTCAAGGAGTCAGCCGACTGCGACTTCCGGAGCGGCCCGTATGGGGCCAGGTCCAGCTCCCGGCCCATCAGCTCCAGCGGCCCCAGCTCGCTGAGGCTCTCAACGGTGTCCTCGAAGCTGAGGCTGCCTTTGCGGCTGGACAGGCCCTGAGCGCTGGCCCGCTGGGCGCTCCAGGCAGGCACTGTCTGGGGTGAGAAAGGAGACATGGGAGCATGCAAGGGCAGTGGGCATGGTGTGGTGGCAACAGGAGGTGACACGGTAAGTCCCCTCCATTCAGGGCAATCCAGGTCCCCCTTCTGCAAATCTGGCGCATGCCTTAGGAAGACACTTGTTTAATACTATTTCATATCCCTGACCAGGATGTAAGAAAGCTTTTTCTCAAAATGTTTGTTGATATGGCGAGGGATCCACAAATAAAGATGTTCATTGCAGTGAGGTTTATAAAAAGGGAACGTCCTAATCTAAGTGTCCCGCAGAAGGGGACTGGGTAAGAATACTAGAGTATAGCTACTCAATAGCAGACCCAGCAGCCTCAAAGGACGTTTACAACAATGTTTACAACATGAGAGAGATTTCCTGTGGGGCAACAGTTGCCTTAATTTCATTTTTCTTTTCTCTAAGTCGACCTTGGGACTTTAGAAGACTAAAATATTTGTACCCTAAGCATCTCCCCTGTGGCTGCATAGTCTTTAATGCACCCCCCACTGGCCACTGAGTAGATAGCCATAATTTATGTTAGGGCTCCTCTGCTGTGGGCACCTATGTTGTTTCTATTTTTTCACAAAGATAAATAATGCAGCATCAAACAGCTTTCTTAAAATCCTGGCTCCGAGCACACAGTCCTTTGGAAAGCTTTTGACACCTTGGCCAACAAGTGGTGTCAATTTCCAGTCCCAGAATGGAGTGAGAGTCCCTCCTGACACCCCAAATGAATGAGCACGTGGGACCCTAACTTGGTAACAGATTCTGATAGTGCTCTCTGAACTCTACATGATGCTAGAAAAATTCTCTGCCAACTGGCCAATGATGAAACTATCAGTAATATCAATTGAAAGCCCTAAAACGTTGAGCCTCCCTAATGCAGTAATTCCACATCTGGGCATCCATTCCGAGTACGTAATCCCACACGAAGACAGCATTCAACATATAAAACACCCACCGCATTGTTTATAATGGCGTTTAGGAAACCATGACACGCACTTAAAAAGGAATCTTGCGCAGTCATTAAAATGATGTTTACGAAGGATGCTCAATAATATGGGAAACTATTGCAGTTATAAGTGTGATGAAAAGAGCAGGGTGTGAAATTCTGTGCAGAAATGACCCTTGTTGTGTAGAAACTATCCGTGGAGAAGAGACTGGGGGGTGGATTTAATGTGCTGGAGAGGAATATTTCAGAACGGGAACATCTCCCCACATCACCACCCAGAGGCAAGCAGTTCACAGTTGCTGGTCGCTGGGGGTTGGCATTTTGGGAGCGATTCCTCTCTCCCCTCCTCCTTCTCCTCCTCCTCCTTCTTTTTTTAAAAGATTTATTTATTTAGGCATACAAGAGCTGGGGCACAGGCCAGAGACTCGGGGGGTGAGAGGATTCACCAGAGACAGAGTGGGGAACAGAACAGGCAGACTGACTGAAACGCACTGCTGAGGGGAGCAGCGGGCGAGTCAGCAGAAATCTGCTGCACCGTGTGGGTAGCTCCCTGGCCGGCTGGGGATCGAACTCGTGCTGCAGAGGCTGCGGATTGCATCATAGTGCGGTGCTTAACCCCTTGCGCCACCAGGGAGGCCCTTCTTCTTTTTTTATTGGGGTAACATCAATTGACAACACGGTATGGTTCAGAGAGGTGTTTTCTTCTTGATTACCCACAGAATGGATTTGAAAATGAAAAACATTCATTCATTCAACACATATTCACAGATGATGCGCTAACACTGCGTGATGTCGGAGGCCTGCAAGAGACAAGCCCTCACAGCGGGAATTCACCAGGAGGGAGCCAGGGGTGTGGAGGCGGGTCCCGCGTGGACGTGGGGGCATGGGGGCACCGCTTACATGCACCTGGGAGAAGGCAAGCCTCACCTTCTGCCTGGCCTCTGCGTAGGTCTCCCCGTACTTCTGCTGCAGGTAGCGGTAGTCGTAGTTAGGGAACGGGGAGGGACTGGGGAAGCTCCCGGATGTCCAGAGCTTCCACAGGCTCACGGCGGCAATGCCCAGCAGCACCAGGGTCCCTGCCGCGTAGACACCCACCTCCCAGCCAGGCGGGCTCTTGATGACTGCAAGGCAAGGGCAGCCTCTCATTAGCAGGCACTGGGAGCACCCTCCTCCCCAGCCCCGTGTTCACAGACCCAAGGAGCAGGGAGCTCAGCACTGACTTAGTCACTGAACAAGCACTTATTGAGAGCCTACTATGTGCCAGGCTCGGTGCTGGGTGGGGGGGTTCAAGCCATATTCTCTCTGCAATTTCCGCTTTAGCCTCTTTTCCACACAAACGTGCGTTTCTCCCAGGAGCGAGGCTTGGCGGGAGCAGATGAAGCCCTGTGAACAAGGGCTACTCATTCCTTAGGCTTTAAACCAACAGGGTTGCTCTCACTTCTTTGAGGCCTCAGAGGCCCTCTTGTTTCCAGATAATCAAAGCAGCCGTTTGGGGAAAAGGGAGGGGTGTGGGGGGAGAAAGAGAAATGACTCCATTTTGCCTCAACCTCATCTAGAAGGATCTAATCTCCATCAAACAACGAAGAGAAAAATATAGCACATCCAAACATTGGAATATTATTCAGCCGTGAGAAGGAATGAAATACAGCATGGACGGGTCTGGGAAAGATCATGTGAAGGGAAAGAAAAGGCCACCGGCGGTGGGAATCTGCTCCTATATGAAGGGTCCAGGCAGGCAAATTTGTGCAGACAGAAGGTAGGTCGGTGGTTGTCGGGGGCCGGGGAGAGTGGGGAATGTAGAACGTGGGATCTCTTTGGGGAATGATGAATATATTGGAAAGCTTGATAGTGCTATTGGGCACACAATCTACTAAATCCACTGAATTGTTACACTTTAAGTGGATAAATTGTAGGGTATGTGAATTTTATCTCAAGAAAGCAGTTATTTAAAAAAAAAAGTCCTCAACCACAATTGAGAAGTGATTCAGGCTATGCGGATTTTGGGGGGCAAATCCAGGGGCACAACTGCTTTTTCTCCACTGTTCAGCAAGTGACTTTCCTTCTCAGAGCCTTACTGTTCCCCAAAATAGTGACCCATGATGCCATCCCGTGTGGCCCCTGGCAGGACCACCCTGTTGAAAAGTGTGGTCTCGCAATGCTTGGAAACCCAGCCCTCCATCCCCAAAGCAGCCAGTGAGCCGGTGGACTCCATTTTGCTAGTCACACTTGGAAAATACAGTTCGCTACACCATCCTCAGTGCTGCCTGAATGCCCACTTCAAATAGGGAAACCGAGGCTCACAAAGACCTTGCCTGAGTCACACAGCCAGGAGGGTGTGGTGTTGGGATTCCAACTCTGGCAGCCAGACTTCAGAGAAAGCAAGGGTAACTGCTGCCCCACCCAGCCTCCACCCAGCTTAGTCCCCTGGTAGCAGGTTGAGAGAGGTGGGTAGGGTGTTTCAGGGGCAGAGATTTAGCGTCATCCATCCATTGAGCACCTACTGTGTGCAAGCCCCTGTGGGGGTATAAGCCCCAGGCCCAGGCCCTTTATAGGAAGTGAGGTGAAAATGAATAGACAGAAAGGGGTGATGGGAATCAAGATGGAGAGGACTTCCTAGAGGAGGAGGAATTTGCATTATAAAGGAGTAAGTAAGTCACCAGGGACTGGGAGGTCGGGCAAGAAGAGGGGGCGGACAAAGCCTGGAGCATTCGTGGTGCCCAGTGGGGGCGTGGAACACTTGAAGCTAGAGGGGCCCTTCCTCACTGCTTCCCCAGGCCTGGTCACTCAGGGATAGTCACACAGCAGGGGCAGCCCCTCTGGTGGCGGGAGGCTTCGGCCTGCCCCTGCTGTCCAGAGCCAGCCACGTCTTGCCAGAATCCACAGCTCACTCTGGAGGTCAGGGCTCGTCCTTCAGCCCTGGCATTTATCTGGCATTTACCTGGCATTATCCCGACTCCACTTTCCAGAAGAGGGAAACTGAGGCTGAGAGAGGCCCAGGAATACATCTATGTGCCAGCGCACGGCCACAGAGGTGAGGGCGCTGGCTGGGTGCAGGCTCCCTGGTTCCCGGGCAGGCCGCCTCCTCTACTCTCTGGGCCTCAGTCTCCACATCAGGAAACCGCGATGAAGACAGAAACAGCCCACCCATGGGCTCATCCTGGGGACTTATTCTAAGGAGAGAACCCCCGCAAGAGTGATGTCTGGTGTGAGTCATCGTGGCTGTATTTTTAACTGGGAAATCTGGAAATGGCCAGAAGGTCCCACAAGGGGGCCGGGGTGGGGGTGGGGGGGCTGTCCTGGGGAGGAATGTCACTGGCCTCTGAGAATGACAATTGAGGTCATCAGCAGGTCCCCATGGCTATGCAGAGACACCTTTCGGGCACTGTTAAGAGGAAAAAATAAATCACTCTCCAACATGATATAACCACACGATTTTGATGTAAAGATCACAGGGCGTGTGGGCCGGGGCGGAGCGGGGGGGGGGGGGGGGGGGAGGGAGGCCATGAGAACAAGCGGTGGTGGAGCTGCGAGCAGACCCTCCCTCTCCTGACCTCTGCGCTGAAATGTCATTTGTGAGCTAAAGAAAACCACGACCAAGGGGACCGAGGACCGTGTGAGAGGGGCTCCCGCTGGCCCGGCGGGCACAGCCGGGCAGGGCTAGGAGCTGAACTGGGGCCTGAGGCTTGAACGTGGAAAGGTGGCAAAGCAGAGCCAGGTCCCCCCAGCGTGAGGACCCCTGGGGCTGCCGGAAGCTAGTGCTCTTGGCAGGAGAGGCGGGCAGGGCTGGGGCCCCTGCACGGAAAAGCCCCAGGAGGTTGAGACGAAATGATGACAATTAATGCTCATTTATTTACTCAGTTTATTGAGCACCAGCCTTGGGAGGCGGGGACGCGCTCCCAAGGGGGCAAGGTCTCAGCTGAGACCAGCGGAGGAACGGGAGGAGGCGCCTCCTCTCCATGGACTACTTGCCAGGCCCTGTCCTAAGCCTTCGCCCGTTCGCCCACTGCGTGCTCAGCACAGAAGGCTCTGACTGTGCCCCTTCACAGATGAGGGAGCTGGGGCTCCAGATCGCTCTGTGACTGTGCCCCCTTTCTGATGAGGAAGCTGGGGCTCCAGCTCCGCACTGGTAACCGCCGCACCAGACATGAGGACGCAGCCAGGCGAGGCGGAGCAGGCCCAGAGGCGAGCACCGGGCGTGTGTGCCCGTGGTGGGAGGCCTGTGGTGGGGAGGCAGTGGGGCTGCTCACGAATCTCCCCAGCAGCCCTGAAGGGAGGCCTCACCACCCCCTCCCCACAGGTGAGTAAGTGGAGGCTCGGGGGTTGCATGGCCTGCCCAGGTCACGCCAGGCCTGGGTAAGTCTTGTGAGCTGGTGAGCTGCCGTGCTCGCTGGGGAAGAGTGAGGACCCCTCAGGACCCCAAGAGCCCAGCTCTCATGTGACTGGGGGTTGTCTTGGGAGAAGCTGGTGTGAGGGGGGGCACCGGTGGCTGTTGGGGAGCTGGGAGCCCTGGGGTTTGTGCTCCTTCCCTTTCCCACCCTCCTTCCCTCTGTAAGTAGGGAGGGGAGACGGCGTGGGTGCTGCGGCCGATGCTGAAGCGCAGTTGGAGCATGTCTGGGATCTCCAGGCCACACCCCGAGCCCATGCCTGCCGGGCGCACCCTGGAAAGCGGGAGCTCCTGCCTGTCTGGGTGACATGACCAGGTGATCTGAGTGTGACTAGCTGCTCAACAGGGTCTAGGAATGGCCCCAGCTGAGTGGCTCCCGCCCTCAGACTCATCCTTAGGGAGCTGTGGGCCACGGGCCTCAGGGCAACCCACTCAAGTGACATGGAGAGAGTCGCTTCCATTGGAAGGGAGCACCCTGACCAGAAAGATGAAGGCCTCAGGCTGGTCCCAGCTGGGTGTCCCCAAGGCTGTGTGACCTTGGACAGGTCACTGACTGTCCTTACCAGTATTGGGGTATTGGTATCCCACTGACACCCCACCCCGGCCTGGTGGGAGGGCCCCTGAGGTGGCAGACTTGCCGCTGCACTCACCGCTCAGGTGGTACTCCGCCACGTCCACGGCCATGGTGCCCATTACAGCGGATGGCACTGGAAGGGAAGAGAGCCAGCAGAGAGGGCTTCAGGGGGTCACCCACCCCCCTGGCCTCCCTGGGGCCCATGTGCCTGTCGCTTGGAGTGGTGAGGGGGGCCAGGCAAAGGTATGTGGTTTTTAAAAATAGCATCTTTAAAAAATGGCATTTGAAGTACCTTTCAAGCACTCCTAGACCTCACTCCCGGGTTGCCAGTCAGCGCACAAGATGAATTTCACGTTTGTGTTTAGTGGTATGTAGTACATCCCAAACTCCACGTGGGATACACTTATGCTGAAAAAGTATTCATTGTTTCCCTGAAAAAGTGACCGGGTCTCCTGGATTGGTATTTGCTATTTCTGGCACCCTCCTTGTTTCCATGCGAACAACAACAGGCTGACCAGGGATCCCCTGAGGCTGTCCACAAGCTCACTCCAAATGCTCTTACTTAAATCGGAAGGAATGAAGGCCTTCCCACAAATTCTATTATCAGTCCTTCACCGCTTGGGACGGCTTCCAGCCCACGCCCCAGCTTCCACGCCTAAGTTTTATGAATTGATGAAGGTCTGACTAAGTTGTTCTAGAAAGACCTGGGAGCTCATCAAGCTCTTACCTGAACCCAGGTGACTGCTCATTGATTAGTGGTGTTGCGAGGAAGCAAACCTGCCCCCCAGACATGTTCTACGTGTGTGCGCGCGTGTGTGCGAGGTTTGGAAAAGGGAGGCTGGAGTGAACTGCAGGGTCCCAGCCCCAGGGTCAGAGACAGACAGACGGACAGGATAGCCCCCACGCCCGCCCCTGTGTCCCGGGAGGTTCAGAGAGTTGGTCCTGATCAGCTGAGGGAGGTAAGCGGGCGCCAGGGAGGGCTGTGAGGCCGCGGTGCGCTCGCCCACTCAGGGCAGCAGCTTTGCCGTTACCTTGGGAACCCAGCATTATCGGCTCTTCTAGTTCTTTAAAGAAAAGCCAGATACCTGGACTTCTGACCGGCACTGCCAGTTCACACACACGGAAATGTAAACACTGTTCAGACACAGCGGAAGGCTGTGGCCAGCCAGTTGGCATTCTGTGGGTTCCCTTTGGGACACAGCCAAATCAGAGCATTTCCGGACTCCTAGGGTCCCCCCCATCTGTCGTTCTAGAGCCAAGAAGCTGGGTGCTTTCAGGCAGATAGGGTTCCCGAGCGCCCGTGGGAGGGTGGTAGGTCCCAGGGCATGGAGCCTGGGGAGCAGGTGGAACAGCGCTCGGTGGGGAAGGGGGAAGCCCGCCAGCAAGCTCCCCGGTGATGCCCCACTCCCACGGGTGAGATGCAGGTTGTCATGGTGACGGGAGGGTGGTGCCAACCCAGGCAGGGCTTCACCCAGGCTGACTTGAGGGGAAGCGAGCTCCTGGGACGAGGCTGATGGGGATGACAGCTGCCCTGGCTGAGCATTCGCACGCATATCACCTCATTTAATCCTCCAGTGACCCCAGGAGAGGGGACTACTATTATCTCTGGTTTGCAGAGAACTCCTGAAGCCTGAAGGTAAAGTCATTTACCCCAGGCCACACAGCGAGAAATCCTCTGACTGCTCCTATCCCCTGCGCCTTCCCGGTGGAGCGCTCGGCTTCAGAAGTTTCCCAAGAAGCCTCAGGCCAAGCCCCAGAGCAGCCCAGCTCCTGGCAGAAGGGCCTGGACACTCAGATGCTCATGTCAACGTGACCCATGGTTGCAACCTGCCTCTGCTGGGGCCTGGTCATGCCCTGGCAAGCCGACTCTGAGCCAGAGAGGCTACACAGGAGGGCTGCTGCTGGCCACAGGCTGAGCCGGTGTGGGCTGGGTGGGCACCTGTGGCAGGTCCAAGGAAGCTCCCTCAGTGGTCCCCAGAACCTGTCTGAGAAGCGGCAGAGAGGACTTGGGGGAAGGAGAGTGGGGAGCAGCCAGCACAGAGTTAGGAGTCAGCCCTTCCGGCTGGGAACCCCAGAACTATCCCCTCACTAGCTCAGTGCCTCTGCTGTCCCTTCTGTAAAATGGGCCCGCGACTGCCTTTCAGGGCGCTGGGAGGGAGGGCCAGGAAGTCTGTGGTCGGCCTTGGCCGGTGTCGGCTGCCGCGGTTCTTGTCCTGGCAGTGGTCCAAGGCTGGCTGGCCCTGAGCTGGAGCTGGGATGGGGGGGCAGGGGGTCAGCTCGAGGATGTTTTATTTGCCTTAGGGTGAGCGGCCAACATTTTATAATTGGGAAATGTCCCATTCAAGTGGATTTAAAAAAGATGAATTTCCAACTTCTCTTTTAGTTAGATGTAGGGACAGCGGGCATCCACTCCTGCCCCCCAGCACTGCTAGGGCTGGATCTAAGAAGGCCGGCCCCTCTGGAGGGGCATTTGCTCTTCAGGCACCTCCCACTCTCCCATTTGCTTCCAGAACCTCCCGCTTCTGGGAAACACCTCCATTCTGATGAGCTAGGGGAAGTCCAGAGGGGTTAAGTGACTTGCCCAAAGCCCAAAGTCCAGCCAGCAACGGTGGAGCTGGGCCTGGCAGTCATGCCTGCCGCCTGGCCCGCCGCCTCTTCTATGAGCAGCCACACTGCGGAGCCAGACTTCACAGCTCCTGTTATGGTCCCCACTGCACAGAGGAGGAAAGCGAGGCTCAGAGAGGAGCCCGAGCTCACCCGCCAGTGAGCCGGGAAGGGAGCCCCAGCCAGAGCTGCCTCTGCAGCAAGGGCCCCTAAATGGGTTTACTCGCCATCTGCAAGACGCTCCAACCCCAGCAGGCGCCTGCGGACAGCCTGGAGGTCTGCCAGGCCGAGGGGCTGGGCTCTGGCTACCAGACAGATGCTGATGAGGCACACGCAGGCCAGGCTCTCCTGTGACCAGAGCTTCCCCGAGCCTCTGACCCAGAAAATGGAGCACAGTATGGTTCAGAGCTGCCCTAAGCCCTCAGTCAAGCTCCTCAGATGGCACGTGCCCTTCCTGCCCCCCTTCCCACCCAATCTATTCGTTCTGGCCCGCACCCACACACCCTAGCTGCATGGAGCTGACTCACTGACAACAGCTCCGGGTTCAAATCCAGGCTCATGCATCTCCACCTGGCGACACCAGCCTGTGGCTGTAAGAACTGACGTGACGTGCTAAATGCTCAGCGCTGTGCTGGGCATGGAGCGGTCACACAGTTGAGACCTAATGATCAGCGGATAGACAGATCCCCATTTTATAGGCGAGGAAGCAGGGCCCTCGGTCAGTCAGCATATGAGTAGCAACGCCAGGAGCAGTGCCAGGGTGGGAGGAATCTGGGCTCCCGGCCACCACGCTGCCTCCTGACCGGGCCTTTTGGGGGTGGAGGTGGGTGGGAAGAAGAGCCACTGGCCTTACTGGAATCTGACCACAGTCAGCTCCCCTCCTGGACTTGTTGGCGAAAGGACTTTCCAGGAATTTTGTACCTCTGCAGGGGAGAGGGGCCCTTGTCTCTGCTCCCCCACCCCAGTCCCTTGCACACAGTCCCCACGTCACATCTCTGGCCTGCAAGGTGCTGGCTCTCCTGACCCTCAGCTGGAGGCCAGCAGGCAAGGGGGAGGCTGGGGGCAGGGTTACAGGGGAGCCCGCTCCAGGCTGCAGCCTCTTTTGGAGCTTTAAGATTGAAATGCCTTTCAAGTGTCGCCCCTCTCCTGAGATAACCACTATCCTTCCCAAATCCCACAGAAACCCCAGCACAGACTGGCTGGGTTTTTAGGGTACCTACTATGTGCCAGGCACTGTACCAAGCACTTGCTGTTATTTCAACAAAGCCTCTGTGCGGCCCGCTGAGGGGCTGCTGCTCTGCCACTGTGCTGGTAAGAAAACCGAGGTGCAGAAAACGGCCAGCCCATAGTCACCAGAGTCCAAGCTTGAACCTGGGCTGGGATCCCCTACTTTCCAGAGCGCCTGGGGAAGAGTGCAGATTTCAGAGTGAGGAGGCTGGGGCCCTGGGTACTGTCTTGACCCTGCTCCAGACTGACTGTGTTACCTTGGGGGGTTCTCCTGCCCACCCCCTTGCTAGTGGGAAGCACACTTGCCTTTGCTCTCAATGCCCTGAGGGGCAGGGGTGCGGGGTGAAGGGGCTGATGTTCCAGAGTGCAGCTTCCTAGGCTCTTTGGGGTGCAGTGGCTTCAGTGACTGAGGAGGGGGCACGCAGGCCCTCTGCAGTCCTCAAAGGGTCTGCTGGCTCAGCGCTCCTACCCCCCACAAGCCTGCCTCCAGGTCCCCAATTGTTGCTCCACTTCCATCACCTCCTCAGCCCAAATTGACAGCCCCGTGGCCCTGAGAAGGGGCACAGCTTCCTTTCCCAAAGGGTACGAGTAGCATCAAAGTTCCCTAGGGGACCCTGGAAAGCCCCCACTCATGCTGATAAATTCCCACAGACACTGAGGATCCTCTTAGGCTCCCGGGGGCTCCGAGGGACGGGTGCGACATGCCTCTCAGTACTGGGGCATCTCCAAGACCCGTCCCCAGGGACTCGGGAGTCCCTGGGGTATACGGGCACGGGGTGTAGTGGGCTCATTACTGAGCCGGGGGCGGGCGCGAGGCTGGCAGGGGCGTGGGGCAGTCAGGGTGCTGCGTGTGAAAGTGGGGTGTGTGTGCGGCACGGGCGCCGGGGAGGCGTGCAAGTGGCCGGGCAAGCCGCGAGTGTTCACTCGCGGGGCGCGATGCGATGCGCAGTGCGTGGAGTGGCCCGGCGTGCGTGTGCAAGCGCGGCGTGGATGAGCGGTCCAAGCGAGTGCGTGTGTGTGTGCGCGTGTGCGCGCGCGCGTGTGCGCAGCGCGCGGAGCCTGGGGTCCGCGGGCGGGGAGGGGGCGCTGCACGCATCTCGGGGCGCGGACCCGGCGCGGGGCGCGGCGGCGGGGCGCGTACTCACCCGGGCTCCGCCGAGGGGCCGCCGCTCCGGCTCGGGCTCCGCTCCCGGCTTCGGCCGGCCTCCCGCAGGGCGCCCTCCCCGGCGCCCCGCCCGGCCGCCGCCCGCGAGGCCGCCCGCAGTGCCGCCCGGCGCGGGTTCCGCGGAGCGCGCGG